TAGGGGTGTGTCCTAGCTAGCAGGCCTGCAGTACTAGACACCATGCAGCAATGAAAACCGAAGCTTTTCAGTGCAAACCCACAAGAGCAGAACACAAGTTTGGGGTTGCTGCAGCAATAAAAGTTTCCAAGCTTTTGGGAATGATGGGGTGCAGGTGCTGCTGCACTGCTTGTGCTGGTATTATTGTGAGGGTGGTCTCTTTATTGTAGGGGGGTGTCCTAGTTAGCAGGGCTGCAGTACTAGGTACCATGCAGCAATGACAACCTAAGCTTTTCAGTGCAAACCCACAAGAGCAGAACACAAGTTCGGGATTGCTGCAGCAATAAAAGTTTCCAAGCTTTTGGGAATGATGGGGTGCAGGTGCTGCTGCACTGCTGGTGCTGATATTATTGCGAGGTGGTCTCTTTATTGTAGGGGTGTGTCCTAGCTAGCAGGGCTGCAGTACTAGGTACCATGCAGCAATGAAAACCTAAGCTTTTCCGTGCAAACCCACAAGAGCAGAACACAAGTTCGGGATTGCTGCAGCAATAAAAGTTTCCAAGCTTTTGGGAATGCAGGTGCTGCTGCACTGCTGGTGCTGATATTATTGTGAGGCGGTCGCTTTATTGTAGGGGGGTGTCCTAGCTAGCAAAGCTGCAGTACTAGGTACCATGCAGCAATGAAAACCTAAGCTTTTCAGTGCAAACCCACAAGAGCAGAACACAAGTTCGGGATTGCTGCAGCAATAAAAGTTTCCAAGCTTTTGGGAATGATGGGGTGGAGGTGCTGCTGCGCTGCTGGTGCTGATATTATTGTGAGGTGGTCTCTTTATTGTAGGGGTGTGTCCTAGATAGCAGGCCTGCAGTACTAGACACCATGCAGCAATGAAAACCGAAGCTTTTCAGTGCAAACCCACAAGAGCAGAACACAAGTTCGGGGTTGCTGCAGCAATAAAAGTTTCCAAGCTTTTGGGAATGATGGGGTGCAGGTGCTGCTGCACTGCTTGTGCTGGTATTATTGTGAGGTGGTCTCTTTATTGTAGGGGGGTGTCCTAGTTAGCAGGGCTGCAGTACTAGGTACCATGCAGCAATGAAAACCTAAGCTTTTCAGTGCAAACCCACAAGAGCAGAACACAAGTTTGGGGTTGCTGCATTTGGGGTTGCTGCAGCAATAAAAGTTTCCAAGCTTTTGGGAATGATGGGGTGCAGGTGCTGCTGCACTGCTTGTGCTGGTATTATTGTGAGGTGGTCTCTTTATTGTAGGGGGGTGTCCTAGTTAGCAGGGCTGCAGTACTAGGTACCATGCAGCAATGAAAACCTAAGCTTTTCAGTGCAAACCCACAAGAGCAGAACACAAGTTCGGGATTGCTGCAGCAATAAAAGTTTCCAAGCTTTTGGGAATGATGGGGTGCAGGTGCTGCTGCACTGCTGGTGCTGATATTATTGTGAGGTGGTCTCTTTATTGTAGGGGTGTGTCCTAGCTAGCAGGCCTGCAGTACTAGACACCATGCAGCAATGAAAAGCTTTTCCGTGCAAACCCACAAGAGCAGAACACAAGTTTCAGTAAAAGCAAACCCACAAAGCAGAACACAAGTTCGGGATTGCTGCAGCAATAAAAGTTTCCAAGCTTTTGGGAATGATGGGGTGGAGGTGCTGCTGCGCTGCTGGTGCTGATATTATTGTGAGGTGGTCTCTTTATTGTAGGGGTGTGTCCTAGCTAGCAGGCCTGCAGTACTAGACACCATGCAGCAATGAAAGCCCCAGCTTTTCCGTGCAAACCCACAAGAGCAGAACACAAGTTTGGGATTGCTGCAGCAATAAAAGTTTCCAAGCTTTTGGGAATGATGGGGTGCAGGTGCTGCTGCACTGCTGGTGCTGATATTAAACTATTGTGAGGTGGTCTCTTTATTGTAGGGGGGTGTCCTAGCTAGCAAAGCTGCAGTACTAGGTACCATGCAGCAATGAAAACCTAAGCTTTTCAGTGCAAACCCACAAGAGCAGAACACAAGTTCGGGATTGCTGCAGCAATAAAAGTTTCCAAGCTTTTGGGAATGATGGGGTGGAGGTGCTGCTGCGCTGCTGGTGCTGATATTATTGTGAGGTGGTCTCTTTATTGTAGGGGTGTGTCCTAGCTAGCAGGCCTGCAGTACTAGACACCATGCAGCAATGAAAACCGAAGCTTTTCAGTGCAAACCCACAAGAGCAGAACACAAGTTTGGGGTTGCTGCAGCAATAAAAGTTTCCAAGCTTTTGGGAATGATGGGGTGGAGGTGCTGCTGCACTGCTTGTGCTGGTATTATTGTGAGGTGGTCTCTTTATTGTAGGGGGGTGTCCTAGTTAGCAGGGCTGCAGTACTAGGTACCATGCAGCCCTGCAGTGCAAACCCACAAGAGCAGAGTGCAAACCCACAAGAGCAGAACACAAGTTCGGGATTGCTGCAGCAATAAAAGTTTCCAAGCTTTTGGGAATGATGGGGTGCAGGTGCTGCTGCACTGCTGGTGCTGATATTATTGTGAGGTGGTCTCTTTATTGTAGGGGGGTGTCCTAGTTAGCAGGGCTGCAGTACTAGATGCCATGCAGCAATGAAAACCTAAGCTTTTCAGTGCAAACCCACAAGAGCAGAACACAAGTTCGGGATTGCTGCAGCAATAAAAGTTTCCAAGCTTTTGGGAATGATGGGGTGCAGGTGCTGCTGCACTGCTGGTGCTGATATTATTGTGAGGTGGTCTCTTTATTGTAGGGGGGTGTCCTAGCTAGCAGGGCTGCAGTGCCCTGGTATTATTGTGAGGTGGCCTTTTTATTGTGAAGAGGGCCAGTTAGTGTAAGCTTCAAAATAGATGCTTGTTGATGAGATTAGGCAGTGGCATGGAATGCAGTGCAGCTCAAAGAGGTGTAGGAGAAAGTTGCTGAGGTCTATCGTGTAGCATTGCAGGAAGCGAGTGCAGGCATTTGGCCAGGAAAAGTGCAGATGTGAGAGGGTGCACCTTGCAGTGCTCAAGATTTGCGCTGCAGCTTGCAGCATGTCCATTGCTTATGCTGCAGGCAGATGAGGAAGGCAAAGCGCTGAAGAGAAGACAGCTGAAGCCTCACTTGCAGGCGAGACTGACTTGAAGGAATAATTACTGGAAGACCTACAAGGGCTGAAATGTTTGTGTTGTTTGTTTCACACTGCTGGTTCTTTATTCCGGGGTGGTCTTGTTATTGTAGGGGCTTCCTCTTTGTAGATATGGCAGTGCAGCTTGCTTTTCATTGCAGGCACGCTTGCTGGCAGAGGATGCTGCTGCTGCGGCCACCATGCAGTTTAGCGGACAAAATGCAACTGTGCGAGCAGTCTGCAGCAAGGGCAGTCTTTGCTGTGAAGAAGATAAAGCCATACTCAAGCATGAAGAGGACTGTAGTATGACAGTGCAGGAATGATTTTTCTGGTAGCTAAAGCGTGCAGGAGCATAGTTGCAGGGGGGTTGCTTTGATGTGGGGGAGGCAGTGCTGGAGTCCAAGAAACCTTGTGTTTGTTTGCTTGGCCACCGGGTTTGAATTGCAATTAGTATTGGGGAGATTAAAACTAGTATTCGAATTTTGGGAGTTCTGGCCTCGGAAAAGTTATTATTCCGGGGGGATTTCTTGTGTCAACTGGGGCACCAAGACTAAACTATGTATTGGCTAATTAAAAATAAGTATTGGATTTTTTCTGGCCCGGGGCGAGAAAAAGTCATTATTCCGGGGGGGATTTATTAATCAAGTCCTAAGATTACGTCCTAAGGGTCCTGGCGGAATTGGCCTCAGAATACGTCCTTTTGATTTTGACACCCAGGAAGCCACTTGGGGTGTGGTACGGGCACCCTTGGTTCGCATAGGTGTGGGACCCTACCCAGGCTGATCGGCTGCTTGAGTCGAGTTTTGGCCATGCAACTTCCTGCAGTAAAACTGAGCTGTCGTTTGGCCGGGGGTCTGGCAGAAGGCTAAATCCTCGTTTACTCCTGTTCGAGGGGGAGCAAACAAAACATGCAGGTTGCAATTTGCCCCAACTGGGACCAGCCCCCCCAAAGGAACTTATTTCAACACCCCGCGCAAACGTGATGTTTAGAGAATAACAAAAAATAACAAACAACTTGCCCCACTCAGAAAGCGCCTTTGGAAGGAATAAGTACTTAGGAGGAGACTTAGCGAGACTTAGGTCCCTCTTGACTATTCCCCCAAACTCGGCAATTGTTTGTTTGGCCCCAAGCCCTTCTTTGACAGCGGGGAATTGTTCGCTTCGGTCCGAACATGCGCTTTGAGCACAAAGATCAGCATTTGTGGTTGGGATGGGCATCTGGACCTGACATTCCCCATTTGCAGAAGGCAGGGGGGGTCAAATCAAGCGTCCAAGCCAACAACCAACTGGCGGGAACCTCGGATTGATAAGCCCATTCCACTCCTAGGCTCCTAGGGTGTCGCCCGCAAAAGTAATCCGGACACCCCCTACAGGTTTACTGGAGCAGTGCCCGAAACCCATTGACTTTTGATCCCCCAAAACATGTTATAAAGGTTTATATATTGAGGCCTACTACAATGCGTACGATGCCCAATGGCAGAATCATCTGCTACTCTCTTCCTGGGATGCGCCAACAAAAAGTAGCCAAACTTTTTGTTTACCACTAAAATGGCCCCGAGTGTTGGGCGCTCGCCAAATCGAAGGCTTCCAATCCAGCTGTCCTGTTGGGAAAGAATGAATCGATGGTCCTGGTCGATGAGTAGTTCAACCAAAATCGGTCTACCAGGGCCCGAGGTAAGTTTCTCCACTAAACTGAAGAACAAACGACACCTACACTGCCTCAAACAAACAGAAGGAAGCTCCCAAAAGGCCGATCCTGTAAATGGAACCAAGCCTCAAGAGGTCCTGGCAGCTTCCATGGAATCGCCTAGGGGAGGGGTGGTCTGAATCCCCACTAAACCCAGGCACACGCCTCCACTAGTAAAGTTAAGTGGATTCATCCGAGATTTCCAATGGAACTTCGAATTCGCCAAACCAAAACTGTCCGCCTCCTTCCAGAAGGAGTCCCGCACAGCAGCGAAGCGGTGCTGGAGCTCTAAGGTGGCCAAGTCCAAGATGGTCACCGGCCACCTGGCGACACTCCGCGTCCAAAAACCCAAGAAGTACCCTCCCACCAAGTAACCTGGGCTGTCCGTTTTCGGATCCCCCTCCAAAAGTGACCAACTTTTAGTGGGTCAAATGGAAAACCCCACTAAACGCTAAAAAGCTAAAAAGCTAAGGGGAAGGCTGGGAACCACCAAATCACAAGGAACCTGTCACCGGGTCCCTTCAAAAGGAATATGGTCTTCCAAGACCCCCCGAACATCGGGTTTCATGTTGATTGTGGGAGGGTACCAGCCGAGGCTCGATAACAAAAAACAGTACTTCCACCAGTTGGTTTAGAAAATGTCCTTGTGAAGGTGGTCTTGGGATGCAACGCTTGTTCAAGCGTGGGTTCCAAATCAGAACATACCCCAGGCTATTCAGCGTGGGGATGGGTCGCATGATGTCGCATGTCCCCTCGACACATCACCGACATGCTGGTTGAACTACCCAACTTGTGATCCTGAGTCGTTTGTCGGTGTTTTAGTGTTTTTGTTTTTGTTTTTTTGTTTTTTTTTGGGGGGGGGTGCTGGCCAGTTACATATGTTCGATCATACGGGATAAAGCGGTCAAACACGGATATCGGCCAAAAACAAATTGACATACGGCTTTGCAGGGATCTCCTTTGTTCCCACTTCACGATGGGAGAAAAAACGAAACCGAAACCGGCACGTACGCAGGTCTTAAAGATCCGGAGGTGCAATAATATGCCAACCAGCTAACCAAGAATCACTGGCTGCTGCGATAAGTAGGCAATGAGTTGGCATGCCCGGCTAGAAACCATCCAACTGGTGATTTCCCTTTAAAAGGAATTCCTGGGCTCATTCCCGAGCACCAGCAAGATCATGGCAAACAAAACCGAAACAACTAGAGGCATTGACTTGGACCAAATTTGACAACATCACAAACACGATACCCATTCAACTGCGAAACCGACAGAACATGGACCGGCAAGACAAAACAAAGGCCAACAAAAACAACTTGCAGCTAACCTGCAAATTACAGGTCCACCCTTTGGCAATTTGGCGTGAACAACTAAACATGACCAATACTCAACCCCAACACCTAGGATGTAACACGGTTTCATCATCATCGCAGTCCAGGGCAGTAAAGTGTTAAACAAAAACAAATGTTAACCAACAAAAACGGTGCAATGAGGAAAACCATTATGAAAGGGGTCAGCCTTTGTTGTTTGCGCCAGGTTTCCCCCTTGTGTTTGTCTCCTCTCCTTTTTTGTTGGGGCGGAGAGACTGTCAAACGACTACCCGACAAACTGATCGAGATTGACAAATTGACCCCCTTGGCCGGCTTAGGCTTGCGGGATATGTTGTTTAAATTTGGGGTTCTGGGTGCTTTGCCTTTGGTGTCACAAAACCCACCAACTAAAAATTGGTTGACTCACTTCTGATGCAACCAAAACAGTACCCAAACGTTTTGTGTCCGCCACTAAAATGGCAAACAAACTTGCAAAGTGAGAAAAACCAACCTGGAACTCGAGGAGTGAGGACCGCTACCCCTTTTCAAATTCCAAGCAAAACAAACCTAAATCCAATTGGCCGGTGACGCTGCTTCAAGCCACCCCAAGGGGTGCTTGAGGAGTTGTTTGTCTTTTTTTCGGACCCCTTTTGGTGCATGTTTAAACTAAAGGGACACCAAAAGCACACCCACCAGTTTCCCCTACCTTGGGACGAACACATGCGTCCTTGCTCTTCTTTCTTCTTTCTCCCCCGCCCCCTTCCCACTTCTTGGTTGACATTGGAAGGGGAGCAAAATTTAAATTTTAGCAGTTAAGTGGGGATTTCCCACTAAACCACAATAAGCACAAATGTAAAATGTTTCCCAACAACAGCCATGACTTCACGGCTTGAACAAACTCTTTTCCCCGTCCGGTTTCCATTCCATTCCATCCATCACCCATCCATCACCCAACCCCACCTGCTCACGTGCTCGGGCAGCTCCACGAAGCGATCCCGCTCCCGGAAGTAGAAGCCCTTCAAGGTCATGAACATGCTCACCACCGTCTTGAAGGGCCATCCTGAGCAAGCTCCGCATCCATGGCCCATCGTTGTTCCCGTCCCCTGGAAGAATATATATATATATATATATGTATATCTCCGCTAGTGATAGATTCCCCTTTACAATCCACAGGGGGAAAGAACACATTAAACAGTCCTAAGCAGTTTCAAAGAAAACACAACTTTTTGTTGGCCACAACAAATTTGTCCAAACCCAACAAGTGACTATAAAGTCCAGGAGCTCAGGGAGTGAGGCTTACCTGATCTCTTGGCATTTCAACCAAAGATGGCCAAAGGGACTTGTCCGCGAAAACCACCCGCTTCCTTCCTGGGAAGATTGAACATCTAACCGGGTGTCTTTTCGCTTTGGGCCTTGTTCGCAGCATGTCCGCTTGTCAGGTGCAAATCCCATGGACTTGCCAATAGATATTTTAAGCATCAAGAACCTTACGGGGCTGCTGTAGAGCACAGAAAGCCGACAAACCACAAAAGACCTCCAGGGGGGTAAGGCGCAAGGCGCGTTCGAAGAGGTCTTTTTCCAGGCAGGAACATCATAAACAAAACCATCCCGGGGGGTTCCCGGGAAAGCCCTCAGACTGGAAGCCCGCCGCCCCGCTGTGGTTGAGGGCTAAGTGAGTGCGTCCATCCCGCTTCTGGGTTCCCTTTCTCGCCCTGAGGGAAAATTCGCTCACGAAGGTCATGTGTTGCTCAGTTGCCCAAAGGACCCAGAAATATCAGGTTAACCTTTTGGGACCTTTACTAAAAATGGACCAAACATGGGAAACCAAAAGGTCAAAAGGTCGGCTTTGAGCAAGTGAGGTTGAGCAAATCCTGACACCGAGATTTGCAATTTAGGCCTTAAGTCGTACAAAAATGTCAGCTGTGCAACTCGGCTTGGCCCAATCTGATGAAGGCTTTAGTACTGGGTGTGCGTGTGGGTGTGTTTCTGTGTCTTCTTTGAAGCTACCTTGTTGGGTTGCTTCAAGGAAAAAGTCATAGGAAACCCCACCGTTGTAGGGGGCGCCCGCTTTGAGTGGCCTCTTCCTCTTGGCCCAAGGGGGGCCACCTGGCCCCTTGCCGCAACGAGCCCCCCTGCAAAAAGCGAGCTTCACTGTTTGGGTTGGTTTAGTGGAAAAGTCTAAAGATCCAACCCAATAGCAGTCAAGCTTGTTCGAGGAACCAAGGCTCCACTTGACTCCCACAATGACTGAAACCCGGTGAGTCACGAACCCCAAAAAAGGGAACCCCGGGGTTTAAGTCTATTTGCAGAAGAAAAAAAAAGGGAACCCCTGCGAGGAGCCCGCTTTCAATGTTCCATCAGCTCGCCCCTTGGAGGAGCCCGTTGGTTTGGAGCGACCACAAATTTTCGTGGGGTGACCTCACAGCAAAACGACATACCCACCACCACAGGCATCTCAAACAACTTGGCATGTTTGTTGGCAGCTGATCTTGCAGGTCAAACCCCTCAAAGAGAAACAAACAGGAGTCACTGCATTGATTTCCCTTCAAAGACTACATCTTGGCAGGACTAGTGTTGATCCCATATTGATCAACCCCTGTTTATTGATAGGGGGGGGGGTGGTTGTTGGCCCCTCCAAAAGTGGTTTGACACTGCGACCCTACTAGGTCCTCCAGTAGAAAGGTTAGAACAAGGGTACCCTTTTTTCTCTAGCCTATTTTAGTAGGGGAACCCTCCCCCAAAAAAAGTTGGTGAGAAAACTGGGGGACCTAGCCTATTTAAGCAACAGGGGGCACCATGACTGAAACCGCCACTTTCCCTGCCGGAGTGGAATCTGCCCCTTCCGGATCCCAAATCGGCAGGTAAACCTCTTCCAACGTTTTCGGCTTGCTTCGGTTGACCCGTGGAATCCAAATTTTGGGCTCGGGATCCAAATCCCTGGGCGCTTTGGAGCGCTCCGAAGAACGGAGAGTCATCCGAGTCATCCGAGGCGCCCTTGAACTGCCAGTCGTCTCCGTTGGTGATCACTGCCACCACCCGAAGCCAGTCCTAACCGGCGAGTCGAGGGCGGTTCCTCCTCTATGGACATATTTACTATATTTATATTTAGATTAATGCTCTCTACATGTCCGAAACCTGCTTCTCGGGATCCCCTCAAAGGGTCGAGCAGGGCAATCCAAACCAATTCTCGTCTTCCACCTTTCAAAGTGAACAGAACCAAACTAAACACCTAGTGTAATCATCAAGGGTTGTCACCCTTTTAGCAAGGCCAACACCCAGTAATAAGGGGCGGGGCCTTGACTGGCGGATTAATCCCAAGTCAACATTCAATCAAATAAGCAGTCGCCCTCACGGCTTACATCCGTTGACATAAAGAACCACAGAAAAACCCGTTGGCTTGCAAGCCTGGGGCTCTCAGTTCGATCGATCGAAGAGTCCGTCCTTTGAGCTGAATCCCTTGGTGCTGTCCCGCACCTCGAAGGTCCAGCGCCGGCCGTCGATGTGCCGCACCAGCTTCACGTGGTCCTCGAAGCCAGCGAGTCGCTTCGAGCAAGCGAGCTTCGAGATCGGAGCCGCGGGGGCAAAAGGCGAGAATCCGGTGACATGGAAGTGTCGCCAATCCTTGTTGGGGTCGACGTTTTTTTTTTTTTTCATAATAGGGGGGGGGGTGAAGCCAAACAAAACAGGGGAAAATTAGCTGGTGCCACCATGGAAATGTAAACCATTTTTGTTGGGGTCGACGACTTTTAGTGAAACCATCAAGCAAACAGGGAACAATTCGCTGGTGCCACTGAACAACTGAGCCAAAGGGGGTGGTCGCATTGTTCACAAGCCATGGAGCCCTAAGGAAAACCAAAAGAAGGTTGTTGAAACATTGTCTGCACATGATGAAACAAGGGGTCAGACCTGAAAATAATTGGACGGGTGCCAACTCTGTGGTACCAGCCCAACCCTGTGGTACCAGCCCGACCCTGTCGTACCAGCCCCACCCTGTGGTACCAAGGTGGGAGTTCATTCCATCGATAGCGGAATTTCCATGGCTCATGCTACTCACAGAAAGTAGCCCTAAAATTTCCGTGGTCCACAGGAATCCGTCACGCCCGTGCAAAAAAAAAAAACGACATGCCGAATCATTGTCGGAGGACGAGTTTGGGTTCCGCAACTGGGGGAACTCAGAATCACTGCTTATAGGGGAACCATATGCTTACCACTGAGGTAGTGACACACTGACAACCCTGTTTGGGATTTGCGTCTGGGAATTCAAACATATATCTCTCTTCCCAAGCCCTGGCATGTCAGCAAACACCTTACTAACCTTCGCAACCCCAGACAACTGTAGCAGGACCAAACACGCAAATCAACTTGAACCATACCAAGACCGGGTACCAGCCTACCTATAGGGTGTATACAAAGGGCCTAGAAATGCGCAAAAAGATGTCCACCTTGAACATCACTCAAGAAAGCTCAAGTAACATTGAACCAAAACTCGCGAAGCGAGTGGATGGGACAAACAAGCAACCAAACGGTTATTTGCCACTCAAATGGTCCAAACCGTGCACGTTTGAAGTCCAGGAACTCAGGGAGTGAGCAAAGGTGATTTCCTGAAGCACTAAGAGAACATTCGTGAGCCCTGGGCCTTCCACAGTCACACCCCAGTGATTCCATTTACCTGGTTTTGAGGTGGCCAAGGCTACCACCTTGCCTGCCCTCCACCCGAACCGCGAACCGCCTCCTTTCCCCGCCCTCCCCCAAATGAGCCACCCGCCCTGCGGGCTCCCCAAACGCTCCGCCGCAGGCCGCTCCTTGCGGAGGGCCTCAAAGTACCCGAAGCCGGTGGCTCCCTGCTGTTCTGGGCGGCGGTAGCGGCCCTCCTGGCAGTCGAGATCCGTTTCACCCGAGTTCAAATGCTCAAGCCAAACCCACCCTTGGATAAGACCAAATAGAAGGGTCCAAATCAGGTGCATGTGTGGTTTGGCTGGCCGGTTTTGGAAATGGCAGGTGAGCTTACTCTCTCACGTTGACATCACCTAGGGAAATGGTGCCAAGAAGAAATTCATATTCCACCTATGTTTGTGGCAAGGGTCAAAGAAAGGAGGGGGTCCGAGGGCGTTTTGCTATCCATGGAGACGACAGCGAAAGGGCTCTGAATAAGCGGGACCTTGTTGCTGCAAGGTCCCCTCCCGGTTGCCAGACTTCAAAATTCACACCACTTGCCCAAGAAGAATTGCTAATCTCAATTGGTTCATTCTTGGGGACATCATTGCAAGATAAGGGGATTTGTGTCCACCAGCAGTTGTTGTGGGTACTCCATCCGTACATGTGAGCTATCAATGCAGAATGGCCCACCACGAATCAAATTGTCCAGTTTCGAAAGACTGCCGAAGCTGAACAGAAGTGCCAAAGCCACGGCCATGCCAACCATCCGGGATATCAACTAGCCCTCCACCCCCTCCCCCCCTCCGCCCCTGGCCCCCCGGCCCTCCGTATGCGTCATATGGCCTTCAATACCCCCCCCGCCGCCCCGTCGAATGAACCATGACCCCACATTTGACAAGAAATTCCTGCGGAGTCGTTAGGACTTCTCCCTTTCAGCCCCTGCTGAAGATGAACAGAACTAAAGGCATCTAAAGACGCAACGCTCAAAGAACAGCAAAAAGGCCCTAGCTTGGTCACATGTGCCGTCATCCCTCCTGGAGCACATCTGCGCTTGACATGGTTTGTCACAAATGCCAACATAGACTCTCTGCCTGAAGTCTAGGGGCATTGAATTGGAACATATATCTCTTGAATGACACGTGTTGGGCTTCTTGGACTCTCCAAATTGATGAATCCCCACTAGAAGGGCAGCGGGTTATACATCTGGGGTCAACATTGCATTGGTTGACCCTGGTTGTACCCTTGGGTACGCAGCACAACTCCCCATGAGCTTACCCGCAAGGACACTTACTAAAATTGGCGACCAAACGATTACGCGATTATGGGACACACCCACCGTCAAATACGGTCCCTCAAAAGGATTGTTCTTGAAAGGTGCTTGACATCATTTTGTCGATCCGTTTAGCCTCAAGCCACCATTTACTTTAGGTCGAATTTCGGGGATGTCAGGATCGGAAGTCGGAAGAGCGGATCACCGCCGCCTGGAGCAGATCAAAGACGTTCAACATGTTCACCGGCGCGTTCTTGTTCATGGGCACCAGGATGATGGGATTCGCCTGCGAAAGAAGCTCTGGCGGAAATATCTTCATGGGACGAGCTGTTCTTTGAGGATTCCTCTTCTGTGGGAAACCGTTTTGGGGTTCCATGTTGATTTGGGGAGCAAGTTGCCTTTTGACAAATCCAGACTTCTCCAAACCACTTTGCAACTACATCCAAACCAAAAAAACAAAACCAAAAAAAAGCAACATCCGCTTCAACACAATTCAATACAACCACAAACCACTCCAGACTTATCCTCTAAACTCGCTCCAAACTGTGCTCTCAACCACTCAAAACCACTGCAAATGTCTAACCCACTTGAAATCCGTTCAACCCATTTCTTTTGATTCGTTTCCAAGAGGAAGCTAGATTACTCCACACCTCCGAGATGATTGCAAACCCCTCAAACCTCCCAAAACCGCTCCGAAAACCTCCCAAAATCGCGCCCGAACCTCCCAATCCCAAAACCGAACCTACCAAATCCTCCAAAAACCTAACCTACCAAACTTTCTCAACACCGCCACCAAATCCTCCAAAATCCAAACCGCCCCCCAAAGCCGCCCTCCCAAAACCAAAACCGCCTCCTTGTTCTGCTCCAGCAGCTTCTCCAGCTCCCACATGAAGGGCCGCACCCGCCGCTGTGGCTTGGACTCCCGCGGGATCTCCAGCACCTCCGACCACTTCTCCAACTCCTCGGCCATAGAGGTAGAGGCGGGGGCGAAGGGGGGCGAGGGGGTCCATTGAAGGATGCGTTGACCCCGTTAGAGGCTCCAGACAAGCTTGAACCCCCTCCCATTTTAGCAGATAAAATAGGGCTAGTCCAACTTGGGCGAGGGTCGTGCTTTGGTGACTTTCTAGGTCCTCCAGCACAGAGGTTAGAATAAGGGCACCCCCTTTTTCTGTAGTAGCCTATTTTAGTAGAGGAACCTCCCCCAAAAAAGGGTAAGCGGGCACTACTGGGGGACCTAGCTTTGAAGAAAACCACAAAATATTGCGTTGCTTTGTTTGCTGCAACTTGTTTGGCCAACGTATTTAAAGGTGCGCAAGGAAGCCAAGCACCTGAAGTCTGCTTTTTGAGACACGGTCAGCTAAACAACCACGTTTACCAGCTGATTTAGAGCATGCCCAAGAAAAAAAACATCCTGAAACCCTAGCCGAAGCCCCCGACATCAGACTCAAAGTGCTAGCTCGCGTTAAGCAAACAAACCTTGAGCATGAGCCCAAACCCACCTAGCCGCTCCTGAAAATGAGCCAACACCTCCCGAAGCCGAGCCCAGTCCTATTATACCCAACTAGGTCCTCCAGTAGAGAGGTTAGAATAAGGGTACCTTTTTTTTAGTATGGGAACCCTCCCCCAAAAAAGGGTAAAAGGGCACTACTGGGGACAAAGCCAGGTTGTCCTTGTGACTCTCGTGGGGTGCGAGCCCAGTCAACCCCAACAAACATGGCGCCGTCCAAGGCTCGCCCTGTGCGATCTTGAGGATGGCACTAATGCTAGGCAGCTCCTCGATTGGACCCTCCCGGCGCAATTGAAAGAAAATTGGGAAACTCATAACCCAGAACGCACAAACCGACAGAAACCAACAGCTTGCAACGACCTGCGCTTGCCATACTTTGCCAAACTGCACTAAAGGACCTTCATCACGGCTGAGCTTGGTTTGCCCCTTGACAAATGCACAAAGGACCAAGGACCCTATTGGATTCAAAAGGGACCAACAAAAGGTCACCCCGAAGAAACCCAGCAACTCAGCTTCCCTCTAATTGCTGGCCTGGATTGGCGGCTTGGAGCGTTGGCCCTCTACAAGACCCAGCCTTTCAAACCCCGGTTCCCTCCAATCCAAACCAATTAGTTGCTGAGCAAAGGGATCAGCCCCCAACCTAGTCTCAACGATTGAGGCCTGCCGCTTGGCCATGTGCGAGGCAACTGACAGGTGTGCGCGTTAGTGTGTGTGTGTGTGCCATGTCAGATAGGGTCTGGAAATCACTGGTTGGGGAACAATGATCTCCGCTAGAATCAAAGCCTTTGGGTAGGGATTTAGTGGCAAAGCGGAGCGATGGAGGGTGCCCAATTCCATGTGCCCACAATCCAACAGGGAAACAACGACTCCAAAACAAATTCCGACCACCATCTTTCAGCAGGCTGGAGACGTCATGTTGCATCCGCAAAGTGAGCAACAGCTTCCTGTGGAAAGGAGCTGGCCGCTTCCCCCAAACACCGATCGCACGCTTTAGTGGCGGATTGCTGGGGTTCTGTTCATGCCAAGCGAGAACTGCCCTCAACCACACACAAACCACGACAAGACCGCACGACTCCGCAAGACATGGCATTTCCCAGACTGGCAACTGCCACACATAGGGTGCCTATCCAGCTCTTGTTCTCACTCACGGCCAACCAGTCTCGTGCCGGTACTTTTAGATGCTGGCTCCAAAATCAGCTTTAGCTTCCTTTTGGTGGCCTTTTAAGCGTTACCCGCACCAAGGGGCGTAAATTACGCGACATGCTGGGCCATCGCGAGAGCATGCCTTCCTCCCTAGTGCCTTGGATTTGCCGTACGCCCTGACTTAGGCAAGCGCAGGCAGTCTGCGAATTTTCCGACAATTCCGAAACCTGAGGTGAGGGATCTGCAAGTAGGCGCCCTTCATCATCTCCCTCTCCCTCTCTCGCTCTCTCTCACTAGTGCCATCCCTTCACGGGTCAGCTCAGTTTGCCTGCCAGTGAGCTCGCCGACAAATTTGGCGGAAGGGACCTACTGGTCTTCACAGCCCGCCAAATGATCAGAACGAACAACCGCACCAAGAGCAGGAACCAGAAATGGAGGGAAACTCCGACTCTGGGCAGACCCGTCCTTGCCGCCCCTGACCATGCCATCCATGTCCTTCAGTCGAGGTTGGGCCATCGGGCAATTATTTGAGCAACCTCCTGGGGCTCCTGGTTTCAACAAAAAGTTGTTTAAACATGCTTCCCTCAAACCCCTATCCCCTTTTCGTTTAGTTTTTGAACATTGAACATTACAAACCAAATTAGAACCCACTCTTTGCGGTTTTCCTTCAAAGCAGCTTCAAAACATGTTTTTCTTCTAAGTGATTCCCCGCTCCAATGGTTTTGCACGTTCGCAAACGGGGCGGGGCACTTCGAAGCCTGCTTTCTGCACCCCTGTCCTTCACCGGCCGCGCTTCCAGGTTGTACTCCGCCGCTGACATGTCGAAGCGCTCCTCGCGAGTTTATCGCTTCGATCAAATGACGCCATGGGCAAAATATGGCGACGCCATGGGCTAGGAGGGCGGGGGGGGGGTTAGAATCCGTCAGTTCTGAAGGTACCTATTCTAAGGCTGGTGACCAAGCTTCCAAACACTTCGGGGTGCGGGGGAATGACTTTCCCTTCAGACGCGCTACTCTCGCGGTTTCCGTTAAAACGATCGCCATGTTCGGTGGTTCAAAGAAAAGGAAAACTCGGTCCTCCAGTAGAGAGGTTCGAGGAATTCGGGTACCCTTTTTTCTGAAGTCTATTTTAGGGGAACCCTCCCCCCAAAAAGTTGGTAAAAAGGGCTACTAGCTGGGGGACCTAGAAAATAGAGGAAACCCCCCGGACCTTTCGCCTAAGACCCACCCCACCCCCACCCCACCCGCTGGCCTCGCGCCGGCGCTTGGCCTCCGGCTGTGGGGACCGCTCTGTGAGCTCGTGGCGCTTCCGGGGCGGCGCCGGCGTGACGCCGGAGCTCTCCGTCTTCGGGCGCTTCAAGCCCCGCGCCACCTGAAAAGCCGCGAAGTTTTGGGAGCTTTTTGTTGGAGAGGTTGGCCGTTTTTGTTGGTTTGTTTGGTGTTGGATGCGCGGAAAAGGGGGGAAACACACAAGTTGTTCGTTCGTTTGGATCCAGAAAAAAGGGACAAACATTGGACAGGTCAACATGGGGGGCGGTTGGGATCCACAAAAAAGGAGACCAACGTCAACTTTTGGGAGAGGTTGGTCGGTTGTTGGTTTGTTTGCCTTTGGATCCGCGGAGAAAACAAGGGGTAACACACAAGTCAAGGATGGGGAGGAGTCGACACGCAGGATAGGTGGGGATCCCAGAAAAAAGGAGACCAACGTCGACTTCTTGGGAGATTTGCATTTAGGCGCAAAAGAAAGCAATCCGTTTTTTAGGGGGAGGAAGGGAGAGGCGAGGAATCTTGCGGAAATTAACTTTGCACATGGCCGTGCCTTTGCCAGAGGTACCTCCCTATGAGAAAGCTTCAAGCTTGTTCCGCTCTATGGCCGACTGTGTCCATTTTGGGGTCAAGGGCGCCACTCGCGTCTCGGAGTGGCCGAGGCGTGTTTCTCAAAAAGTATGAAAAGGAAAGGGCTCTGGATTTTGTCTGGGAATCTGTCCCGTGTTTTGGGGATTTTCTGAAAAATCGCCCAAAAGAAAGCTGGGGAACCGAGCAAGCGGAAGCCCAAGCTGCCTGGATCGATCCAGTTGCGGTTTGTTGTTTCTATGCACTTGACCCACAAGCAGCAACTTGGCTATCTAGGTGTGATGCGATTCTCACCTCCATGATCCTTATCCGCAACCTGTGGGACACTACAACAAAAAAACTACAACCTGGTATCATCTGGCACAAGGACTATTACACCACTTCCATCTGAACGGCCCAGTTGGAATGTGACGTTGAGTGCCATGACGCCGAAAAATGCCGCATGATCATGGTATAGGGCCATGCGCGTTGTCGTCTAGCCCCTTGCGCAGAACAAATTCCTCAAATACCGATTTTGCAAAGGGGCCCTCTAAATATCTCTACATCAAATGGCATCTGGATGATTTTTGTGCATCGCACTGCATCCTTGGAGGAACAAACGCCCCCGCGTCCTCGATCGCTGCCTCGCTGACGATCTTCTCAGAAGAGTCAATGACACCCTCCAGGTAAGCGAGCAGGTCCGAGCGGTCACACACCTTACGGCGGTTTCGGGGGCCGATTTTGATAGCTGATCTTTAAGGCACCGGTATGGAGCAACGGAAAGCCTGGGGATCAAGGACCACATTTGCAACAGATTCCCTTGACCGAAGCTACAAACCGAGTCTCAAGCAATGGCATGGGAGAAAAGCACACCAACACATGCAGAAGGGAATCGAAGGGAGAAAAGGAAACACCATAGGTAACCTTTTGAAAAATAGATGGCTCTGATACATGGTGTCTAAAACCGTTCTCAACCAGTGGCTCCCATCTACTTTCACTCTCCAACTAACCTGGTGGTTTTCCTTCCGGTTTTCCCTTCAACAAAAATACCCGAGAAGGGTAACCCCAACGAAAAACGGGGACGAGCCCGCCGCCCCCCGTAGCGCGCGCCCTTGCCCGCCAGCGGCCAGCGGCCAGCGGCCAGCTCGCTCCAAGGCGCGTTGAGATACTGGAAGCCTCTGCGCTTGGCGCCCTGCGGTGTATAGGAGCCCTCCTCCCGGCTGATCTCGTGGTACCTCGAGTCGGCTCGAGGCAGCTCGCCGCGGCTCGATGCGCCCCGGCGCAGCGGGATTCCCCAGAAAATTTTCTCGGGGTGGAGCCCCGGGTCCAAGAAACGGACGGGAGGAAGGAACTGTTTTTGTTGGGGGGGATTTGAGAAAACCAACTGCGAAATGGGTAACCTTTAAGTTGGGGTCGAATTGAAACCAACAGGAAGTTGGTCATTTATAGGGTCCACCTGGACGTTCTGAAGATGGTGAACCCCTTGGTGTTGCTTGAGTACACCAACCGGAAATAGGACAGTTGTTGGGGCCCGTTTTTGAGAAACACCCTGACTTGAGCGCTCGAACCAAACTCGAGCTAACTCTTAGTTCCGTGCTCAAGGTGACATGGCCCTTGCGAAAGCCTGTGAAACCACGTAGCAGAACCACCTTCTACCGAGGCAACGAGGCAAGGGCCAATAGGGCTGTTGGACGCTGCTCACTCAGGATTTCCTTTGGAAAACGGTCGCCCTCCCACCAACGAGCATGGAACAGGTCCCATCTGGAAGACGACTGTCCTTTTGGTCTACAATTGATGTAGCATTGGCTGAGGTTGATAAAGTATTGGGAGACTTGGGGTTTGGGACCAAACCGGTTCATTAAACAGGTGCATTGATTAAAGCCGGATGGGGTAAACAACCCAGTATTCGAGTGGTCATGGGAAAAAGGGAATAGGGATTGCCACTATTCCGAATCAATCCAAGGCAAGCGGCCGGGCTTTACCGGCTTCCTCCCCAACCCCTGACTTCCGTCCTTCATATTCGGCGAAAAGGAGTACATTCTACAGGAAATTTGCCAAACCTGCAAGCATGCGAATTTCATGTAAAAGCTCCTGGCCTCTTCGGCTCTTCTTCGGTTCTCTGACACTTTCAAAAGAATCTACAAAGAGTGAAAGTAGACTTCACTGTTCTCTTTTAGGTCCATTAGATTCTACAAGTGCCAAATGAACGGGGAGATTGATTTTTACACAACTAATTATGGGGAAGCAGTAAGGCTTTTTACCATCTTGAATCTTTAGCATTGATTATTCACGGCCGTTTCTTTTTTTCCATCACGCGACATGAATCCGAACTTGGTCTATTTCAGATGTCACCCGCAGCTTTGGAAGCTGAAAGCAGGGGTTCGGAAGACATGGAGACACAGACTCGCACACGAGCAAAGGCACCATAGTGACGGAGACAGAGAGATAAATCAAACATAATGTGGCCAGACTGCCATTGTTTGGCCACTGCAATGGGGCGCCGGCCTGCAAATTGATTTCTTGGGTGAGGGACCGCAGTCATTCTTACAGCGACAGGTTCCTCTCGCTTTGCGCGGCAAGCACGCATGAACCGGGAGCATAAAACCAAGTAGCTCCAAAGACAACCATAGGACCTGGCATATACGGACACACTACCCCATGGACAAAGAGGAGAAGCTACCACAGCAAAGCATTATTATACAGAAATGAATGCCACCTCTCAAGACTTGAGACATACATCAATGTGGCCATGGGTCAACATCCAAATCGTACCCCCCAGTGAACATCCCAATCCCCACTAAAATAGGTTCTAAAATGCGTGGTGCACCTACCCCAAAATGGTACCATTGGTTTTGACCCACAGCCACGTGACATGTTTGCCGCATTGCTGCAGAGAGCCTCTAAGCTACACGCCGATTTACGCAGTCATTCCACGACAATCAGGACTATGGACTTGTGGAGTGCCGAGCTGCAAAGGGCGCATGGGTTCAACATCCCTGCTATATTGATCTCCTGTGGCCTCCTGTGGCCTTTTTCCTTTGGACTAGGGGGACTAACAAACGCGAATTCGGCCATCCATCGCTAAACTCAGTGGAATTTGCGGTCCGATCTTCCCCCAACGGTTAAAACAAACAGAGACCATTGGTCCATGGTGCATGTACCAAATCGAGCCGATGTCCATAAAGGGCTCGTCGGGGGAGGCTCGGAAAGCGCATCGAGTGTTCCGATGCACCCGGTAGTCTCCAAAGTGGAGGTTGTCGAGGTCAAACTTCACTTTGGTGCCTGCTCGGGGGCGGGGGGGGCGGGGGGGCGGGGAACCGGGGTGTGTGTGGGTGTAACCAATTCATTTGAGGGCGCCGCGCCCTGGCCTCTTTCTAAAGTGCTGACACACTCCATTCTCCCCCTTCCTGGCCCCCCTCAAAAAGATAAGCATGAGAAAGCGATAGAAAGCGTAACTATTGCTTAAGGGTCTTAGTTTAGACTGGTGCGACAAATCGAAAGGAACATTTGGCCTTGCCGCTGCAGTATATGCATGGCTTATGTTGGCACTATGTTCAATTCAAGCACCCCAAGCCGAAACCGCAGCCGGTTTCCGGACAAAGCCCTAGCCTTTGTTTCGTCGGGGCCGGCCTAACAAACGCAGCCAGCTGCGCGCATCCGTTGCTTGACACGGCCTTTCCAACATCCATTCGCATCCGTCGAACCCGCAACCCGAAACCCGCAACTCCTTCGAAGCGCGCTGGCCGCGTCCCCGCCTGAGATGATGCAGTTCTTCAGCAAGACCAAAGGGTCCAATCGCCGAGCGTTCGGCACCTCCAATCGGCCCGGATCCTCCTTGGTCTCCATCCCGGCAAATGCCATAGCGGCCAAGGGAGCGAATCCTCCAAGTGGCTATGGCCTATTTTTTTCGCAGGCTGTGGGGGACTTGAAAGCCAAGTGAAGTGAGGCTCGTGGGAAAACCTGTTAGTATTCATTCAGCCCTGTAAGCTAAGGTTCTCTCAAACTAAGTCGCTAAGGCATGATAGTCCCAGGCGAATGGGTACGGCTTGATTTTGCCCTCTGGCTTTCCTTGACATCAGGTTTCCTGGGTGCTTTTTTGGGCTGTTTGGGTCCGGGTTCCATGGGAAAAAACACCGCCCTCCACTTTTGGCTTGGGGAAGCTTGGCACACGGCGCGCTATTTCCACGACGAGGTGTCAGGTCAAACTGCCGGGTTTCCGACTTGAGCCGGAAGCCTCGCAGGCGGATAGGCGCCTAGGCCACCCCATCTGCCTTGGGCCCTACATGGCCTGGGCCACGACCAATAAACTATGCCTGACAGATTAGCAAAACACATGTATACATACATATATATATATATAGATATGTGTGTAAGTACATGCCCACAAAAACAAACAAACAAACAAACAAACAAACAAACAACAAAAAAAAAACATATTGCATGAATACATTTGCGCGGTCTAAACTAGGCAAATTATTCTTGGACAAGTTTTGACGGGACATCTCCGAACTTCGGCTGCTTGGGGCTGCAGCGCGCCGAGTGGAAAGCCGGCCCCTGGATGATTCTGAGACTTGAGGGCCGTGTTGGGGGGTCAGACCTGTTTTGGGGCCCACACACCCCAATGAACTAGGGCAGGTTGATGTTTTGTCCCTACATTCTCTCCACATCCCGGGTGGATTGGCTAAAAACCGTACCCAAACTGTTTGTCTGTCACTCAACAGGGCTGCCGGATCCCCCGCCAAAAGTGACTAACTTGTGGGTGAAATTCGGAAACTACCACTAAACACTAAAAGGATCCAAGAAGCTCAGGAACCGGATGGCTTTTCGGGAGCCACCAGGTAAAATGGCGACCAAACCCAAAAAGCGACCAACGAAAGTCCGAAACCGACATCAGCGAGTTCCCAGGGTGGCCTTGGATAGGCCAGGGAACTGCCGCAAGGCTCAACCCTGACTCTAAATAGGTGAACCCCATGTCTTGCGGTAAATGGAACCAAAGACGAACAAACTCCTGGTGGTTTAAGTTTGACCCCACCCTCTTAACTAGGTCCTCAAGATTTGCGAGGTTAGAGTAAGTTGGTACCCGATCTTTTTCCCTAGTCTACTTTAGTACTGCGCAACTGGGAGTTTGAGAACCTTTCAAGTATGCTTTCTGTTTTAAACACTGTTCTTGTGATGGCTATGAGGACCTCCACTTGCCCACTTTGGGCCAATAAGATCTTTCACTACGGAAGCCATTTCGAAAGGGAAGATTGGGCGAGCACTTGCTAAGAACAGCGAACTGTAAATGTTGACCAGGACTACACCCCCCTTGTTTGAACAAAGTTCATGGGAAGCCCGAAATAGTCAACCCTTGGTTGACTAAGAGGGTGAGCGTCCCCTTCTATAAATCCGGATCCCTTTACTGGTGCGGGTCCGCCCGGCACCTAAAAACACATTCCACGGGTTCTACTTAGATCCGTCAACATTGATCCACGGGTCAAAACGTCAAAAATCCAAAATCGCACCCCCAGCGACTCTGTCCAAAAACTGGGTGGTGAATTTCACCTACCCCAAAAATGGGGTAGAATTCGCCGGAAAACCCCCCCAACATGGGATGCCAAAACGGTTTTTGACCACCACGGCCATGTATCCACCGCTGCTTCAACCGGGCTCACGGCCACCTGATGTAGAGCCGGGAGCAGCTCGCAAGGCCTGCACAGGGCAGATGGAAGTGTGTCTCACTTGCCAAGGACCCGGAAATGAAAAATCAGCTCTTGGGTTGCCAAACTAGACCAAAAAGGAGAAACATGAGAAACCAACAGGTCAGATCCGGTCGATTCGCTTTGGGCAGCTGAGGTGTCTTTTGCGGCTGCGCTGTTTGGCTTCCCAGGAACGCAGCCAGGAAAAGTTGATTGCCCAGTTTGCGCACGACAACTATCAACAAATTGAAGTTAGACCGGTCGAAGTCCGAAGAAACCCACGAATCTGCCGTCACCCTTTGGCGTCCTTTTGAGACATTCGCGATGTGGGCTCCGGGAAACCCATCCGTGGCTCCCATCCTGCGCTGCGCGGGCGTCCAGACGCGGCAGGAGCCGGGCGAGGTCTTCGGCCCTTTGCGCCGCAACCTGTTGAGCGAATGAATCGCAAGGGGCTCGGTGGGGCGTTTTATGAACCTGGGCTGTCCCCAAGTCCCCTTATAAAAAATCGAGGGGGTGATTCCTTTTCCATTCTTTTCATCCAGAATTCTTTTCAATAACCAGCTGTTTCCCCAGAGTTTTTGGGGGTTTCTGGAAAGAAGGACCCCTGCAAGAATGGGGAAGCTACCCCTAGAAACAAATACACATTTTAATGGGTTAAATGTTAAATGGGAACCCCCCACAAAACCGTAAAATGCTCGGACCCTAAACGGCAAACGGGATCCAACTTGCGCCAAAGGACAATTATGAGCTCAGCATCCAGAACTGTGTTCCGTGCGTATGAATCAGCCGGCATTTTTCGGTCATTGTTTTAAGTTCCCGACACGCGTGGATCAAGTGCCCCCCCAAACAAAACAAAACACGTGGCGTTTCTCCAAATTCGTTGGATCTCTTCAAGCGCAGGCGCTTCCATATGCTTAAGCCCACTGGACAAAATACGAAAATCTATCCAGTGAGATCGATTCCCTTTGAACCAACCAGGAAGATTCACCAGATTCTGGGCTGGAGGAATGACCGAACAAACAGGCGGCCTCCCGAAACCATGACCCCCTTTCCGCGGCCCAGTAACCATGGGAGAAAAGAATCGATCGGCATCCAAGTTGTTTTGTTGGTTGACGTCAAAGGAATCGGAACCCAACTCCGATTCAATTGAAGTTGGGATTTAAGAATCGGAATCCACTGGTTGCAACTGGAGTTCAAATGGAAGCTCGGGACTCTTTGTTGACGTTGGAAGGGGAGCACACAAAAATGGCGTTACATAAAGTGGGGCTTCCAACCACTAAACCACAAAAAAAAATGTGTAAAATTATAGGGGTCGAGTCCCCATTCTTTTCAACCATCGTTATTTTCAAAAACCTGCTGCTTTCCCCAGGGTTTTTGTTTTTTTTCTAGAAAGAAGGATCCCTGAAAAGAATGGGGAAGCTACTGGAAAAATAACAAAATACATATATATATATATATCTATATATTTTTGCCTGGTTAGTGGAAAACAAAGGGGGCCCCAAAAGAGCCCAAAAAACAACCATAAAAAGGGGAACGGAGTCTGGGGAAGAAAGGAGGACCTGGGACCTGGGACTAATCCCAAAGGAAGTTGGAAAAAAGCAGAATCCACTGGTTGCAGCTGGGCTTCAAAGGGAAGCTCAAAAGTATTGGTTGACGTTGGAAGGGGAGCAAACAAAAAATAGCAGTTCCGTGGGGAAATTTCAACCAAACCACAAAAAGGACACATGTTAAAATGTGGCCCAACAACAACCATGGACTGGCCCGACCTGGGACCCTTTAGCCTTCCTGGGACCCCGCACCAGGGGCGCGCAGGCCGCCGCCTGCAGCGCCAGGTCCGGCTGCAGACGCCTGCCCACCGACGCCTCGAAGAGAGCCACCGCCTGCGAGCTGGGTCTCGGGGGAGGAGGAGGAGGGGGGGAGATGGGTGCTATGTGTTTCGTTTCTTGCTGTTTGTTTATAGGGTTTATAGGGTTTGTAGGTTTATGTAGGCTGCTTTTACAAAAGCAAACAAGTTGTTGTTGGTTGTTGTGTTTTTAGGTAAGTCTATCTGGGCCTATATGGACTTTAATGGGTTTTATGGGGTTATATTGCCAGCTCTAATGTTGTTCTAGCACACCTTAAGATGAATAATTCGCCCATGATCACATGTTGGCTTAATGGTACCACATAGTTATCCCCTACCATTATAAGGCCCCTCCATTGTCCGTTGATAATTAGTCAGAGAGTCATACTACAATTGACAATCCAGGTGAGCGCGCAAGCTACGACATGCTAGTTTTGGGACCTCGCATTCTGAGTACCTGACCAGGCCGAAACAGTTGTGCTGGTAGGGAAGATGATGGACCTACAGGTCAAACAATTAAACGAGGAAGTCTGGCAATGACCCGTCGCAGGTTGTCTTGATCTGGAACCAAGAGGAAAACCATCAGTCTGGCCTTTTGCCATTTCTTTGCACACCCAACATCACCCAACTCGTGGCCCACATTTTGATGTACACTCTTTCGGTTTCATCACTTAATCGTTTAGGAGGACACACAGGTCCAGACCGCGCCTGCAAAGGAGCTGCCAGACCGCAGGCCGTCACAGCAGCGGTGTAGGACACCAAATCCCACAGCCCAGGCCTTGGCTGGAAATGGGGCCCGGAGAATCGGTTGCCCGCTGAAGTCAAAGAGAAATAAGGGTAAATACAAAATCACTGAAAATAAGGGACAATAGGGGAACATAAGGGGGGAAAATAAGGAAAACATAAGGGGGAAAATAAGATGGAAAATAAGGAGATAAGTTGAGGGGGAAATAAGGGGGAATATAAGGGGGAAAATAAGGGAAACAATAGGAAATAAGGGGGAAATAAGGAGAAAAATAAGTGGGACAATAAGTGGGGAAATAAGGGAAAATATGGGGAACCCGCTGAAATAGCATTGCTGGTGATCGACATTAAAATATTTGGCTCCAGTTTTAAGGCCTCTTTTCAAGGGTAGGGTCCCTGGATGGTCCCCCAAACCCCCCTTTTTATGGTGATACAAACACTCCTTGGCTCCAGCAGGGGCCCGCGGCCAAAAAACCCACAGGACCATGACTGTTTCCCCTTGAATTCACTGGTTTCTGGAGTGGGGTATCATGCTCGTCCACACCTTCCAAACCTCTCCGTAGAAAACAAGATGTCATGACCTATCCACATTTGTTTTGGCAACACAGTTGTTGCTGTTCACAAGGCCCATGAAGACAAACTCTAAAGCTTCAATTCCGGTCGCTAGTTAAGGACAACGTGTGGAACCTAGAGCTGATTCTTGTCTCTCTCTCTCTCTCTATCCCTCTCCGTGGAATTCAGTTTCTGAAAGAATCTTCTGTTGGGTTCCTCAGCAGGAGGTTCACAGCCAGGGACAGGCCAACGTCATTTGCCAACACTCGGGTGCTGCAGATCCCCCAGCAACAAATTTAACTGCTTGCTGGTTAAAAGGAAATATGAAGGGAATAAAACAACAGGTTGGCTTTGGCTAACTGAGTACAGGATCATACTCTCTAACTCCAGTGCTGCCAAGCAAAGTCTTTTCATTGAGGTAGCGAATAGGCAAAAGGTCGATTCGCTTTGAACAACTGAGGAATAGGTCTCCCGGCCTTCCGCAAAGCGCCCGTTATCCCTTCAGCTTCAAAGGACCGTCCGATTCAAAATCGGACGGCCCCGATCTAGCGGTAGGGGAGAACCCAATGAACAGAAGGGTGCTTGCTCAAAGGGGTTGGGGGTACCACCATAAAAGGAAACCAAAGGAACACATCATAGAACAAAAAACAACGCAGAGGAAGGAAGCACTAGTGCAAACCATCGCTCATAACCGTTTACAATCGCAACCTCACCCACCCCAAAGACAGCTCACGTTGACTTCGCCGAGAACAAGTTGAACAATTCCCCAGCCCTATCTGGAAACCCGAGGCGGGGCGGCGGGACCCCTCGAAATATTTTTCAAGTCACAGTTTCACACGAGGATTGTCCAGCTTTTTGAGTTGGTACTCCTGTGTTGGTGGCTTAGGGAAACCAAAACGAAACCCGGTGGTGTCCATTTCGTGGGGGGCCACCCAAATAAATGGGGGGCTCACAGGGGCCCGGCTGTTGGAAGACTCAGAAAAGGAAAGCCAACGCCACTGCCTTCAAAATACACCTGTAAAGCCACGGGCCGCGCAAACAGGTGCCAAACGTCCCAGTGGCCCACACCTGCTTGCAGTGTCCAACAGCTGGCACAGCTGCGCCCAACGTTTTGCAGTCCCCAGCGCTGAAAGGACAGAGTTCAGCACCTCGGATCTGCTGGCAAAAGTCGAACAAGGTGTGCGGCTTGAAGGGCATACAAGTTGAACTTGGAGGATGTCCTTTTGAGCAGACTGCAGCCCAAAACCACCCTTTACAAGCATGTGGATCCTCCAAAACTGGTATTTTGCGTGCTTTGACTTTCCCAGATCTTTTCAGTGACCCTGCGCCCTGGCAAACACATACACCGGGGCAAGAGTAGATGACAAAAACCCTTTCATATGGGTGAGTAAACCGAATGGTTTACAGATTGTGCCATTTTGACCGTGGACCTGACAAGCGACCCATCTGGCAAGGCGCTGTCAAGTCCAGTGCTTGCGCCGCAGACTTTGCCGTGGACAGGGTCCCCAGTGCGGCTGTCCACGCACCCGCCTCGAAGGGTCCCATGAGGCTCCCCTTTCCCATGAGGGCCTTCAAAAGCCCCAAAGGGTGCTTAGCAAATAGGGGGCCTATAATCTTCTCATTTCTCTTGAAAATGCAAGCCAAGAGAGCGATCGAAAAAACAGAAACGTATACTATGGCTCGTCCCTTGGCCCAAATTTGGGCAGGCAGAGACTGCATGGCTTCCGACTCGGGCCATGAAAAGAAAGTACCACCACCAGCGCGAGGCAGCGTGTGGCACGCGGTAAACTGGGCAGAGGCTCCCCGGGATTCCCGAAGTCTGACTCCTGAAACCTGCTGAACCCGACCACCCGTTGGGTTCAGCGAAGCAGCCGTAGAGCACAGAGGTACCATGAGACCCGCGCCCTCACAAGCCCATGAGGAGCGAAGTGAATGGCGTCTGGAGGCTGCCTCAACTGGCCTTGGTTCACTCCCTCTTGCTGAAGTCCCCTTGGCAAAAAGGGGAAGCAAAAAGCTTAAACTGAGATCGGCTGTGGACAACTGAGTCTGAGTCACCCATACCTTCCATTTGCTAAAGTTTTCTGGGCAGAAATGTCCAGTGATAGATTCTCTTTAAACCCAACACGGGGAAGTAACACGTATTCATTTCAGCAAATGGAAGTCCATGTGTTGAAACAAAATGTTTTTTTGCCCAAAGCCCAAGTGGCCAAGGGGAAACAAAGCTGGGCCCACACACCAGATCTGAAAAATCGACAATGAATCGAAACCCACCCTCCCATCCACTCACATGTGACTGAGGGGCCCTGGGGGACTGTGTTCCTTTTAAAGAGACCCTTGAAGATCCCAAATTGAGAAATCGTGATGGGTAATAGACATAGTCTGGATGCTTAGGTAAGAGGTATGTTTCCCTCGCCGCCATCGGACCCTTGATTGTGGCTCGCCAAGGATTTCTTGCCCTCACGTCACTCCCATCCATCATTCTCTCCGTCAATGATGGAAAGGAATGGACATATGACTTTATTTCTTTCTATTTGCTAATATGTCTACTTTACCTTCCAAATCCTTCTTGTATATTAAACATATAACTGGATCGAGACGTGGCCACGGAAAGACCTGGCCAGTGGAGTTCCCACCTGACCAACCGATCAAAAACACACCTATGCCGGACCCAGCAAGGCCGAGTTTGCGCCTTGTCGCAGGCATCCACCGCACCACCCAGCGCTAGAATGTCCACCTCCACGCCACGCCTCGCAGCCAAAAATCGCAGCCATTCCCCCCACTCCCCGAGAAATGCCAAAAATATGGACTTCTCTTGCACCCTTCAAAAGGCTAACCTTACATAAACCGGGCCCAAAAAGTATGGGTCCAAAAGGAGTTTGTGAAGTTTAATGGGTCGCGGACCCTCAAGGGTGGACATCGCTTTTGGGGATTGAATCCAACCATGAAGTAACTGGGGACAACTACAAGGAACAACCCCCGTTGCTACCCTATCAAAGTCAGCCCCTCTCTTGTCGTAGTTTAGCAACGATTTTGTTGCTGACGCCGGGTGGCCGTGAAAGCCATGCTATAATTCATGGTTACACAATTTGGGTTGGCAATGCCAGGGGCGGTGTTGGAGCAACACAATTGATCCCTTGGTGTGTGTGTGTGTGCGTCACAAGTTGTCAATGCCCCAAAATGGTGGTTCCCCTTCATCTCCCCTTAAAACCAAAAAAACACTTCGCGGACCGCCGCTTCATTCGGGGCTCCACACCACCCGGCCCTCCACTCCTCCCACGCCTGGCGCCCACCAGCAGCGTCTCAAGGGCTCGACGCCACTGGGCCGCCACCGCGCAGCCCATCGACAAAACGTCCACGGCGAGCAGCCGCTGGCGCAGGCACGCCTTAGCGCCAGATATCACTTGCAACCAGAAGATCTTTCATCCAGCTGCACTATGCGTCTTCGAGCTCGAAGAGCGAGGGCAACCCTACCCGTAGGGTGTCTACCGCTGCTCCTCCTCGGCCTGCATCGTCCGGACGCAGGCCAGCCAAGACATCTGGACCCCAAAACATGCCTGACATCCCCGGCCTTGCACTCCTTGGGTCTTGGAGGAGAATGATGCGTTCATTGCAAGGAAAGTGTCTGGGCGAAAGTTCAGATTCAAGAAGAGAAAAGGAAAAGGAAAATCACGAAGCAAAAAGGGCAGTCACCAACGAGGTGGCTTCAAACCCTTTCGAAAAAGTGGCTCCGGCGGGAAGGCCAATATATGCCAATATTGCGAACGAAAATCAGGATCCCTACGACCAGGCATATTGGGACAAAGGTTATCCATCCTATGACAGTGGCAAAGGAAAAGGCGGACATGACAAAGGAAAATCCGGAGGAGCAGTCCGCCAATCAGCAGATTACTGGCTCCATGCCCTTATGCCCAGCCTTCAGAAAACACCGCAAGCACAAGCCTCTGACAGCGGCCATTGCCAACATCCCCTACATCCTTGCCAACTTCTCCAGCATCCCCAGCATTCAGCAACCTGGTTTTCCAGCATCCTCAGCATGGCCGGCATCGCGCCAACCTGCCAAAATCGCCTTGTGGGAGTCAGCACCATCACAATTGTGAGGAACACATCGCACACAGCCGTGCTTTTTTGTCATCTTTCGCTGGTTTGTGTTGGGCTGAGGGGGTATGCGGTCGTCTGATTGGCTTTTTGGCGCGCGCGAGCGTGCGTGCCTGCGCACGCACGCTCGCTGGCGCGGCAGGGGCGCGTTGCGCGGGGCGGGCACGAAGGGGTCAGGTAAGGACAAGGCGGGCGCCCGAGGGCCTGTGCAGCAGCCATCAGATCCGAGGCACGCCTTGCCAAGCATCGCTCCGGGGGAGACCTGCCATATGGTCTTGACCTTCCGAGCCTTTGGCGAAGCATGGCTGGTCAAGGCCGTTTTGGGATCCCATTTTGGTTGGTACACCACCCCAACACCCATGGCATTTTGGGGTAGGTGAATTCACCACCCCAAAACCCATGGCAGCATTTTGGTATGTGAATTCACCACCCCAAAAACCCATGGCAGCATTTTGGGGTAGGTGAATTCACCACCCCAAAAACCCATGGCAGCATTTTGGGGTAGGTGAATTCACCACCCCAAAACCCATGCTAGCATTTTGGTAGGTGAATTCACCAGCAGGGGTGCGGGGTGGAGGGGCTCAAGGACACGGCATGGGCCCGTGACGCACCAGTGCAGCGGTGGCGAAGCTCTAGGGAAAAAGGTAATGAATCAGATCCAATTTGCGACAGAAGCAGACATAACTACTAAACATGAGTTGATCAGCTCTTGAAACCTTGCCTGAATGTGAACCAAATCAAGGAAACCCAAAGGTTAAAGGTCGCTGTATGGTTTCCAGGTGTTACCTGCTGGTTTCGCCTGTAATGGTAACTAGCTATGGGTTAGATAAGCAACCACTGGAATCTCTTGGCCGCCTCGAAACTGGGACCCAAGCGGCACCCGCCTGGAAGGCTTGACAAACACCCGTATCGGTTCGTCTCACGGTGATGAGTGGTGCCCCCAAAATAGCTTCAATCTTAAATAGCCGCAAAAAGGGCCCTCGGGAAAAAAGACACGCTTATATCAAAATGCTTGGATGGAAAATGGGGTGTCCACAAGGACAAAGGGGTTCCTAAGACTTTTGGGCCAAACTAGTAGGAATGCAGGCTACAAAGTGACAGCTGTTGGTTGAAGGTGGTCAACTTCGTTTCGCCTTATTTTCCTGTAAGCCTTGCACAACTTCTATGTTTGCGACTCACACGAAGCAGCGAAGCCCGAAAGCGTCAAGGGACTCGAAGAGAGATTCTTGGAGACCACCGGGCTGTTGACAAGAAGCCCGCCCCACAGCCATGGACCATAACTTCTTCCCTCAACCAAATGTGAAACAGAAACTTGATGAAGGGATAGGTTCCCAAGCGTTGGTGTCCTTTTGGAAATAGATGGCACTGGTAAATAAATTGAACCAAGCTGCAACCAGTGGACCCCATCAGTTTGCAATCAAACTGACCTAAGGCCATGTGTGGCCCCAAGATGAAACCTTCAACCTTTAGCCTTTAATTCAACCAGCTGGAAACCAGGATATGCTGCAACTTGAGACCTGCCCATTAGCTTGCTCCGGTTGATAACTTGGGCGGTAATGATAGGAAGACCTGACGCCTGCTCATATCATGTTGACCCCTGAGAAACAAACCTTACAAGTAGGCCAAAAGCAGTGAACATAGCAAAAGAGGGCGGCTACATGAAGGGTGAATACTGTCTTGCTGTGGGGCTGGCCCCTCCCCTCAACATTAGCAAAGTAGCAAATGACCACAAAACTCCAAGCGGCGATGCTAAACCGACTAAGGTCCAAAGTGCTTCTAGGCTGCTTTGGTTTCAGGCCTGGCATAGTTCTTTCGGTGTCTTGCTCATGGTTGGCCATAGCAACAGCTTGCTCAAGTTTCTCCTTCGCCTTCCCAAGTTGACCCCTCGGCTTTCCAAAGAGCAGCCCTTAAGCAAAGGGGCACCCCTGAAAGGAAGACATGCCATGTCCAACCAACTTAGCAAGCAGATTATAACCACAGTTGCCCTAGCCATAAACAGTGCTGCTATCTTGGTTGCTGATGACTTCCCCTGCAAAAACAAAACAAACAACACAAGTTTCACCCTTCGTGGGTTGAAGGGAAAACCCACAAAGCGTCAAGCAAAAAGTTAAAGCTCAACGATCCGTTCCGAATTTCTTTCATACCCTAGCCTCAGATGCCCAGTAACCATGGGAAGAAAGATGAAAAAAGGGCATCCTTTTCGGTTGGTTCACTTGAAAGGGGCACCCTTCCCAGAAAAAGTTGTAAAAAAGGGCACCACCGAGCCGGGGTACCTGACCAAGCCTTCCGTGTGATTTGACCCCTTGCCGGTGACTTGAAAGCCCGAGCCGCCAGCCAGCTCATCTCTTGCAGCCACCTTGGTTGCAACGACCCCTTTCCAAAAGTGAGCTTCACTTTTTGGGGGTTTAGTGGAACACCCAGCTTAACTTTTTGGGGGATTACCCTTGAATTTCTCAGAAAGTTAAAGTCTAAAGATCCAGCATGATCCAACCCAATAGCTGTCAAGCCACCGCCCTTGCTGCACGCAACTGCTCGCAGCCTTGCTGGCCAGCCGCGGCGCCGTGCGCAGACCTCGAGCAAAATCAAAGCCAACGATTTGTCCGTTGGCCTAAGGCCCCTGGAAAACACATCCACTGTTTTCTTTTTGTTTAGGTAGTTTGAGGTCCAGGTACCCTCAATCAAGAACCAGAGATTCCATTTGTTTGAGCCCCAAAACACATAGATGCCCTTCAAAGCCAAGGGGAAATAACAAATGCTCCTGAGTAAATGGAAGAATAACGCAAAGCGCTTTCAAATGGCGGTAAATGACAGACAAATGGGAAACCGCCATGTAACCAACCCCACACCGATGCAAACCAGCAGTTCAGCTTTCCTAGCCTTGGGAATGTAGTAAACATGGACAGAACCTCAAAAAACTCAGTTGCCCACAGGACCCAGAAATAAATGGTGATCACCTTTTGGGGCATGGCTAATTGACCAACGTGAAAAAACTGGTCAAAAGCTCGATTCGCTTTGGGCAATCGAGGGCATCGAATCGATTCCCACCAGAACCTGGAAACCAGAAACTTGGTTGCTGTTGACCGGTTTAGTGGAAAACCACATGATTTCAACCAAAAGGTTAAAGTCTAAAGATCCGTTACCCAGGTCCTCCAGATTTGAGAGGTTAGAATAAGTTGGTACCAACTTTTTTCAGGACGTCGAATTGAGTAGGGGAGCCGAATCTCCCAACCAAAAAAGAAACGGTGAGAAAGGGCACCAAAAAGGCTTGGGGACCTAGAAGGTAAGGAAGGTAATACTAGGTCTTCCATTGAAGACTGCCCTTTTCCATTGACAGACTCGGTAAGGAGCCCTCCCCCCAAAAAATACGTCAACGGAAAACGCTGCCAGCGAAGAGGCGCCAAGGCGCCGCAGCGCTTTGCCTCCTCCAGGCGCTGCAAGCTTTGCTCCCAGGTACCCAAGGCCTCGGCTTCGAGGCAAGACATTTGGGGAGCCTTAAGCCTAGCATGTTCAGCTACGGCTTTTCAATCAGCCCTTAGTTGGCGCTTTGGATTGGTGGTTTGAGAAAGATCAGCCCTGGTTCTTGTGTCAGCTTCGCTCGGATTGAGCCTGGCGATTAGATGGTCAAGGAGGGGTAAACCCCATTTGCCCTCTACAAGAGAACCAGGGGCTCGAGTCCCCAAACCTGACCATATGGGTGTGTCTTTGTTTAGGAAGCGGACCGACCCCTGGTTTAACAAACTTGTTTGGGTATGTGTTTTTTAGGCGACCCCCAAACAAATTGCGGGTGTCCTTTTTGGTGGTCCTTTAACTCACTTCCCAAGTGGACTGGCCAAAAAAAGTTTGAACTTTTTATTTACCACTAAGATGGTCTTTCCAAAAAGTTTAAAGTCCACTAACTCAGGAAGTGAGTTAAAGCCCACCGGCAACGCGAAAAAACATCATGAGCCACCCATGTGAAAAGAGGAGAGCTCTCTCAAAATGGGCGTCCGGAGCCTCTTGGTTGGGCCAAAAGGGTATGGGTCAAAAATAAAACAAAAGACCGCAGGTTCTTACCCCTTAAAACTCCAAGCCCTGGGGAAGTTAATCTTTCACAGACATATAGCCCATGTTACCCGAAAAGTTGAAAACTTGTGTTTTTAAGAGATAAGGGTTGTAGTTCATGTTTCCACTTGCCAGGTTCCGTTTTCGGTAGCTATTTTTGACGCACAGCCAAAAGTGGCCACAGCCCGAATGCAACCTCCAGGCCATCATGTTCCCTTGACCACGGCGTCAGGATGTTTGGAGAAACCATCCCCTAGGCTTCCTTGCCCCGATTGAAAGAATGGCAAGGACCCAATTTAGATGAGGATTGTCATCAGGCAAGCAGTGGTGTTCATATTGAAGCCCCATTGCTGTAATGTGGTTTGAACCCTAGACCACCGTGTAAGGAAGCAACATCGCGTGGAGGAAGACCTCCCGAGGCAGGACACACCTTATAGTTTCTTTTGTGAATATGAACGCTAAAGACATTAGCAATTGTTTCATATCAGATTTGAACAGGCAGTTCAAATTACAACAGTGAAATAAAGACATTCTAAATTAATATAATACTATGGTATTGAAACTTTGTAAATACAGTGGTTTTATCACACAGGACAATATAAATGTCATTGCAAGTCTTGGATACATAAACTTCATAAAGTGTTGAATCGACGACCGACAAACAATGAATTAGGGAAAGGGATAAGAAGCAATCATGCATTAAAAAAAAAAAAAAAAAAACGAGGAAGAACTGAGCCGAAGACCAGGGAACGACACCACTTAAAGTATATAGCCCCAAGGCTCCCGAAATTGTTTTTGTGGTCTCAAAATGGGTTGCTTTGAAGGGACCCTGAGGGACCCTGAGGGGTGGGCCTGCATTGTAGGGGTCGTGCGCCGGTCGGCGAGACCTTCCGCTTGCAAAGGTTTTGGCGCCCGACTTTGCATGGGCTGGTAGGAGGCTTTTTGGTCACCTTCCCCCATCCACCCCATCCACCCCGGTTCATAAGCCCCAACAGCAACATGCGTGAAGCCCAGTGACCCCGCAAGGGTGACTGGGAGGTTCCCTTTCGGGTCACAGTTGCGGGAAGCCACCAAAAGAATTTGGAGTGAGGGATCGGGAAGGCCAAGAGGTCCCTTCTGCGGACTTCTATGACACAAGTTGTTCATCTTTCGCTTCTGCAAACCTTCCCCGGTGTATGTTTTACAAGAATTGCTTCCACTGGTAAGGGCGCAGAAAGGAAAGCCTGCTTAAGTAAGGCAATGCTCCGATTGTGTTGGTGCTTGCTGTGTGGGTACTTTTGCCTGCAAACGCGGGGCCACCCTTCCGCGGAGCTTAGGCGTTCCGCTTCTTGAGTGCAGCAACACCTTTCTTCCACTGAACATGGTGTCCCCGTGCATGGACACAAACTGACACAGTTCATATTAAACCATAAAGCGTGTTTTTAGAACCTGCCGTGAAAAATACCCCTTCCACGAAGCCCTCCGCCTGCTTCCGTGTGTGGCGCGGTGCACATGTTCAAACATACGGTCCCTCTCCCTACTACTTAGCTTGCGGGCAAAAACAAAAACGCCGCTCATTTGAATGTGAGCATGCGTGAAATCGATTCACTCGAACTGGGAACACAACAAACCTTATCTCGCTCCGATCGATTGGATTGGCCAAACAAGTATGGTTGCCCCTAACATGGTCCAAGCCCACCAAGTAAAAGCCAAGGAACTTAGGGAGTGAGCTAAAAACAACAGGTGGAAATAGCAAATGGGAGAATTTGAGCATCGGTCACAGGCCTGTTCTTCCTCAGCCCTGTCTTAGTTTGACTCAATAGAAGGTGGTCACCTTGGGAACCTTGGCGAAACTTCAACCAACTCAGGGCAAACCCAAAGGTCAGTTCAGATCGATTCGCTTGACACCCTCAGGTCAAAGGATCGATTCGCTTTGGGCAGGTGAGCTGTTTGTTGGTCTACCTCCATTTGCTTACAGTAAGGCCCCAGTTTAAAAAATAGAAAAGAAAATATCTCCAATAGTAATAGATTCCCTTTAAAGCCGACAGGGGAAACCACCAAATATTCATTTCAGCAAATTGATGTCTACAATCTGCCAAGGAACCGTGCAGCGCAGGTTCTCTGCAGCAGCTGCGGCTTGCAAGCGTACTGCCTGGGCCCAAGCCGCCGTACCTAGGTCGACTCCGGCTGAAATATATATATATATATATAAATATATATATACACATGTAAGGACCCAAGTAAATAAGGGACACTTCGTCATCTTTTGATTTTCCCTGTTGGTGGGGTTTCCCACCAAAAGCCAAAAAGGCATGTTGGTTGCACCTTGCGTGATCTTCAACTTCAGCGTCTTCCCATGCATAATTCCGACCAGGTGCGCCCTGTGGAGGACTGCAGGGTCCCTTGATGAGGCGGCACGTCCACGTCCGTACGTTGGCTGGGGGTGTCTTGTCTTCTAGGTCCTCCAGTGGAGAGGTTACAATAAGGGTACCATCTTATTTCTGTAGTCTATTTTAGTAGGGGAACCGTCCCAACCAAAAAGGGGGTGAGAAAGGGCACCAGGGCATCTGGTCTTTTTCCGAGGCTACGAACTTGGTTTCAGCAAGAATCCCGGCGTCCGATCAGATATCTTTCTTCTTAGTCGACTTTGAGAGGCGGGGAGAAAGCTCGTGGAAGACTGGCGTCGAGCTCGAAACTTTTGGACAGTTGAATCATCCCGCCACCCCTCCCTGACCAACAGTGCAGGGATTCTGAGACCAAGCGCCACCAAAGGCAACTCGTGCCCTACAAACCTGGACTCACATAAAACCAAAGCCCAAATTAACGGCAACAGCTTCTGGCGTCTGGACTAAGGAATCAAACATTGGCAGGTGAGAAGGCAAGAATTCAGCAAAGTGAGTTACGACCTCCAGCAGCGGCGCCCATGTATTCAACCATTTGGGGGTGGGTGGTTTTGACTGGCCGGAATTTGCTATGCTTCTTGTCACCTTTTTACTGCGTAACTCCTGCAAAACAGCACAGAGCTCCCGAGGAACACATGGATCGGACCCCTGTTCAAAGCTTGGGGTCGCTTCCGATGGTTTTGGGGGTCGCAGCCCTATCCCTGCATTTGGTGTACCTTAACCTGTGCTTGACCTTCTGTGGCAACTGCGAACTGCTGTTGGCAATGGCTGCCGTTCCAACCGGTTTCGCGATGAGTCCACCTTTAGCATCAGATTGACTGTCCGGGCTTGAGCGCAGTGGAAACAGTGGAGTTTGGACACATACCTATAGCGTCTCAAAACAGCGAACCCACCATTTGGGTTGCCTTAAAGAGGATCACCCAAAGAAACCAACCTGGAAAGGTCCAACTCAGACGGCGCAATGGCAAGCCCGCCGCACAATGCCACAGTCCCTCTAGTTGAGCAACCCTAAAACGGCTAGGATGCACGCATGATCCTTTTTTGCGCAAACAATCGGAGCCCATTTGCTAGAACCCATCTATGTCAGGTGCGGAGAAAAAATATCGGCCCGGCCCCCCCGCCACAAAAACAGGGACGGCGAGCCTCGACCAGTGAGCGAATCCGAGAAACTTTGGCAGGCGGCCAGGGCGGCGTTGTAGGCAGCACCTCGGCGGCGCTGCAAGAAGATCCGCTTTTCCGAGGCCCCGAGCCAACGCTTCGATGCCTTTTACTCACTTGCCCAAAGAACAAGAAGATCATAGGCGTCCTTTTAGGTTACCAAAAATCGGGGGCGATTCCTGGTTTACCCTCACTCGCCCAGTTCGGACCTGTAAAAAAAAAGTTCACCTTTTGGGACCTCTACTGAAAATTGACCAAAAAGGGAAAACCAAAAGGTCAAAAGGTCGAGGCTTTGAACAGCTGAGTTTTGCACTATTTGGGGCCACTTGAAAAAATGTGAGGACGTCCTCAATTTTCTGAACTCATGCTTTACTCAGGAACCACACTCTGCCTGGCTCAAACGCACCCTTTGACGACCCTGGCCTATGAACCCACAAACCAAGCCACCGCTCTACAAGGTGTTGACAACGTTCAAAGCCCAAAAGCTTTGAAAGCGTCAGCAAACAAACACATAATGACATCTCAAGATGTACACACTGACACGCGCACACACACACACACACCCACACCCACACACCCACACACCCACACACCCACACACCCACACACCCACACACCCACACACCCACACACCCACACACACACACACACCACAAACACACACACACACACACACCCACCCACACACCCACCCACCCACCCACCCACCCACCCACCCACCCACCCACCCACCCACGCACGCACGCACGCACACACACACACACCATCTGCAAATTGAAAAACTCTCAAGTTGAAAAATTCGAGAGCCCCAAGCAAGGACCTTCATCAAGCTCTGTCTATCCCAAGATGAGCCACGCATAAAATTTGCAAACTATTTAAAAACGGCAAGAGTTGTTCAATTTGTTTATGAACGCCCAGCTGCCATGCCATCTCCCCGCTAAAACATCACCACGAAGGGAAAAACACCTTGGATGGGCCAAAAAGGAAATTGGCAGGTGTGAGGACTCCGTGTGATCAAGGTTCCAAGACAAAAATAGCCCCATATGCCCATGCCATCTAACATAGGCTTCCATTTGCTTAAGCCCCCCGGAAAAATCCAGTAGTCAAAGATTCCATTTAAAACCAACATGGGAAATCATTAACAAACAAAAACTTTTGCAAATGGAAGTAGGGCGTGTCTAGTCGCCGAGCATTGGAAGCCAAGCAGCTGCCAGTTTGCAGCGCGGAGGCGCTCATGGCATTCAACACGCCGCTCGCCTCATGCCATCCTCGGCGCAGGTGGATGCTGCCAAACACACATGCGGGGTCAACACATGGCCATGGGTCACAAGCCAAATCGTACCCCCAGTGAACATCCCAATCCCCATTATGTTGGACTAAAATGTATGGTGCACCTACCAACCAAAATGGGATCCCATTGCCTTTGACCCACAGCCATATGCTTTTACGCGATAGGACATGGGATAAGTGGCCAGTCTGGTGATATGCGGAGAAAAGTGGACCCTCTTTCAATACACCTGTAAACCCACCAGCACACCCCCCAATGACGAGTGCTTTTTGAACATCACTTGCGGGCTTTGGAAATGAGAAAGAGGAGTCGTTGGGGTGTTGGAAAAAGAAACCGCCCAACCACCAAATAGAGAGAAATATCATAATTCTAATCCGTGAAGTACCGCAGGAGCACAAATTGCTGCGAACTCCAGGCAAACTGTCAGCACAATCAACCCTTCCTTGGCGCCATAGCACCAGGAAATTCGTTCTGTCACGGGGGGTGATGTCAGTGCAGCCATAGCGCCAGGAAATTCGATTGTCGGGGGGGCACTGTCAGATTCGTAAACCCGATGAAAGGTTTCCCCCCGTTGGTCTCCCAGATTCCGGCCAATTCTGAAGGAAAGGACCAACAAGGTGTTGCTCAAAAAACGCAGAGGCAGCCCCCTGAAAGGGGCTTTCCGTTTTGCTTCCCGTTTCCTTCGTCCGCGCGAAAAAACCGCCAATGCTAAGCCACCATTAAATCACTCGAGTTTCTCAAAGCGTGTGCTCCCTGAAACTTTTGTCTTGCTAAAGTTTGCCAAAAATGACAAGGAGTTCCCTTAGAGGCCAGCCCCACCTCGCTAAGAGAAAGCCCCCACGATTGATCGGGGCCCTTGGGCTGCCGTGGCCATTTAAAGTCCAAGAGGTGCTCAAGTTTCCTGTTTCCAGTTCAGTTGGCTGGGAAGGGGGTAGAAGTGAAAGGAGAAGGACCGAAGGCGGCTTGATCAGGGGGTCCTCCACTTTGCTTCTCGAGGACGATCGCAAAAGCTATCAACTCCAGGATTTCATAGCCCGTATTTTGTGCCACTTATTGGCAGGGGAATGGTACTCAACATGGTAGTTTGATGACTGTCCACAGGCTTGGATTGACCTGAGGGCCAAGTAGTGGCTGGCAAGCAACCTGGAGCTCGAACCAAAATTCATGTATTTTGAGTAAGTAAACACTTTGTTCAACAATTCGAGTTGTTTCTGTAAACACAAATGTTGGGAAATTGTGTTTAAAGAAGTTCTATTAGTATATATATATGGGGTGGAAGAACAAGAACATATTTTCTAAATGACAATGCTTATACATATCCCTACCGAAGCCGGATTCGTCCAAAACTCGCACAAGGCTCTTGTCTGGCAGGTTCTAGCACTAACCCGTTCAGATCGTTCGTCCAGAAACTTGAACCGTGAGTATGGCTCGTTTCAGGTTTTGAGCATTTTGCAAACAACTGCCACATGATGTCCTTTCTTCTTGGGGGGGGGGTGTCTATAAATGTTAACTGGGAAACCCGACAAAACAGTTTGTCCTTTTGGTGTTTATGTTACACCAATTTTCAACAGGGCTGTGGAAAATGACCACTTCTCTGATACAACAAAAAGGGGATCTCAAAGACTCCCCCCCCCATATAAAGGGGGCGATCCCCTTGCATCACAGTTGTGATTGGATAAACCCCTTGATCCCACAACCATGATTTGCTTGAGCCCATGAAAAACAAAAAACAAAATATGTTGAAAAGTGATAGATTAACTATAAAGCCAACAGGAAAAATACACATTCATTTCAGCAAATGGAAGTGATTTCCAACCAAAAGACGCCAAGGAAAAATCGGATCCGGGGGTCTGCCAGCAGATCGGAGGCTCTGCTGCATGGCGTAGCGGGTCACCAGGTCCGGCGCAATCCCGCGGACGGCCTGCCGGATGCGCTGGCAAGGATCCCTCCGGGCTCCCCTCCCCCATCCCTCCAGTACCCTCTTTCTGGCTCCAAGGATCCCTGAATCCCTCCCCCTGGCTCCAAGGATCCATCCAAAAAGACTAGCCAAAGTCTGGACCTTTCTTTATCTACCAAACTGGTCCAAAGCCCAAGTGCACAAAAGTGAAGAAACTCAAGGACAACTGACCCTAAGGCCAAACAGTGGGCCTTGCCGGCTGAGTTGGCACACTCTAAACGTGTTCTTGGTAGGTCCAACATGTTAGTAAAGGTCCAAAACGTTCAAACTTATCTTGGCCAGTCAACTCAGGCCGGTTTGAGATTTCCAGGCTTGTAGCTGCCAAGATGTACTGTGGATGGGCGAAATCCTGCACCACCTCAGAACCCCTGGAATGATGATTCCCCTGTAAATACCAACAAACATCTCATGATTTCAAAGGGGTGCGGGATTTTGTCCATCCACAGTATTAAAAGCAGCATTTGATTCCTGGGATTTGAACCAGGTCCAGTTGAGGTCATGTTCTAGGTGCTGGAAACCTGAAGATCTTTGAGCGGGAGGCCTATACGGACTCTTGTGCAAACCAGATTAGAACCCACTTGTCAGAACTCATTTTTAGGGTCACCCAACTTGTTCAAACCAGAACCGTCATTTAAACAGACGTTTGGTTTCCGCAAAAAAAAAGAGAAAGAAGACCAGAACCTCCCTGTTAAAATAAGTGTTTGCCAGCGCTGTGGACTAGCTACCTCATAGACCAGAATGTTCCATTGTTCCAAGGGAAGCCTGTCAGGGATTGATTGGTTCGTTTGCCCTCTTTTGCTCCTGATTCTTGGTTCCCTTCAAAGCAACCCCTGGCGCCCTCCCGAAAACTCCGCGAGGTCGTGTCCGGGAACCTGCCCAAAACAGCTGGGTTCCCCCGGGCTCCCCGTTCACTCAACAGGGACACCCTCAAAAAAGCCCATATCAGGCGAAGAAATCTTCGGAAGTGCTTTCGGAGACTTTGGAGCCTTAAGCCTGAGCCTGCGCTCCGATCTGCGCGCAAGTGATCGCTCCTGCGTGCGCACGTGGGACAACATATCCTCCCAGCTCTCGTAGTTGGCAGCCGCAGAGTTGGCGCTAATGATGTTCGGCTCCAACCTGTGCAACAGGCGCTTCGGACTAACAAACGTCTGGTGCCCATCTGATTCCGAGGAACTCCGCAGGGTTGTGACTACCTTTTGATCAGGAAAATGGCCGAGCCTTTTCCCACGTGTTACTCCCCCCCCCTCAAATTTGGTGAGCGCACTGCGAACAACTTGTTGGTCCTTCAGCACGCTGGTGTTCCCAGGGAGGGCCAAAAGGAAACCACGCAATCCCTTTTGTAGCATTGCAATCCCTTTTGTAGCATCCACACATGCGCATATATGTATAATATATATATATATATAGATAAATATGCATAAAGCCACGGAATTGCCTTAGCTTTTGCCCAAGCAACAAAAACACATTTGGACTCATTTGCCCATTCTAGATGACCCCAAACACACAAATCCCTGATTTAGTCCGAGCACTACATCCAGGAAGCATCCCGGGTGAGTTCCTTCGGCGCCCAAAGGGCACCAGCCCTTGGCGGAACCGCTGGGCGGCACCCAAAAGTGCACCAGACATCGAAGCTGGTGATTGGACACCTCAATTTTGCTCCTTTGCTCGTAAATCGCCATCTCCTTTTGATTCTGTCCGCACAAAAGTCACAAAATGAGACAATGGCCAATCTCAATCCATCCCAGGGAAGACACTACTAAGACTACTCCTCCCATGTTTCAATATTTTTCAGGGGAAGCGGACGCCACTACCTTTGGAAGACACTAAGCGGACTACGAAGCTAAGGATTTCCGGACCTTTAAACCGCCCCAGCCCGCTCGAACAGCCGCGACTCTCCGCGACGGGTTTTTCCGCTGTCTCGGCTGAAAAAAAACAACCGCCTGGAGGAGCGCATGGCGGTCAGCATGCCGCAGCTCCTCACGGCATGCCACATCCCACGGCCCATTTTTTTTCTCGGATCGCTGGGAGGGGCAGCTGGGCTTCCCGTGGCTTCCATGTGCCTTTTCACCCCCTGGAGGAAAAATGAAGATATGTCCGGTGATCCCGGACAAAGAGCCAGGGGGAAGTGGTCTCAAGCAAATGGACGCTTAATGTCTTGAGGCCTTTTGGGTAAATCCCAGATTCTCCATGGCCCTTAAAAATGGGGCCCCATTTAGCCCATCTTTGAAGGCTCACGGAGACGGCGTGATGACATGCGCATGTTTGCGGTTTCATCCTTCACTATCCTCGCTGCGAGACAGTAAACATGTACCCAGACTTTCGCCCTTTGAAGTTTGGACCTGGGAGTCGTGTTCTCACTTCCTGGACTGGCCGAAAAAGTCGGAAAAAGTCCGGACATGTTTGCCACGTCTCTATACCAACGGCCCATGGGAAAAGGGGCCCATTTCCGCCGCAGCAGTTTCCGCAGCTGGCAGCCGAAGCAAAGTGGGAACACCGGCACCACACATGGAGCTACACTCCCTCAGACTAATGGTTGACCCCAGATTCATGTTGACCCCCGTTTATGAATTAGGGGGTGGTTTTGGGCCCTCCAAAAGTGGTCTCAATCCCCACTACCAGGAAAAAGCACCCATGTTTTTCCACGCAGGGGTTTACTAATCCGGGGTCAACATGGAAGCTCCAAGGCCGATCCTGTAAATGGAACCAAGTCTTCCGTTTCGGGGTCCGCTCGTTCCATGGAATCGCCTGGGGGAGGGTACATGGGATTGAACAGTCCTACGTGCCCCCATTTTATGAGAAACGTCCAAACCGCTTGGACCTTGCGAAGCATCACAAGCTTCCATTTGTTTAAGTCCCCTGGAGAGAAACAACAACAACAACAAAACAATATTTCCAGTAGTCATAGATTCCCTTTAAAACCAACAGGGGAAAATCAACAATATTCATATCAGCAAATGGAAGCAAGTATTGCATTCCGCCAGGCTCGCGCTTGAACTCTAAGAAAAACTGCGCGGACCTGAGGGCTCGACCGCTGCCAGTACTTCATGGCGTTGATCAGGGCGTTCAATCCTAAGGCGAGTTACCGCCATTTGCTTAAGTCCCCTGGAAAAAATAAGAAAACCTCCAGTAGTGATAGATTCCTTTAAATCAACAGGGAAACAAATCTTAACCAAATGCAAGGTTATAATCGAAACCCGGTATTAAGATGGTCTACCCAGAGCCATGCAAAGAATTAGGACGGCCCGCAGCTATTTACGGTTGGGATTGTCCCTTACTAACCTTCGTCTACCCGGGTTTTGATTGTGGCTCAGGTGAAGTGATTCCGACCAATGTTCCACTCACTGAGTAGCTTGGCCAAACAAGTGTTTCAACTTTCATGATTTACCACAAAAATGGTCCAACTCCAAAACGTATAAAGTCCAGAAACTGAGGGAGTGAGTCTAATGCGAAGCCAAAGTAACCTCAGAGATCTTGCAAAAAAGGACGCCGCCTTGACATTTGGTCACTGAACCCGATGAGGTCACAATAGTTTGCCCATATGTTTGCAATCTTTAAAGTCAATTCGTGACACATATCCGAAGAGGACAGCATCCTGCTGGTGCAAATTATGTTTTGCCCTGGCATGCCTCAAGGCATGGTTCGTAAAAGGAAACCAACCTCATGGTGGCAAGTGCCACTGTGTGGCTTTGCAGCAATAATCCGGCCACATGCGGCGAGTTGAACGCGAATGGTTTGCCTCGGCGCAATTGATTCGGATAGTGCCAGAGGTGGTGTCCATGAACTTCAAGAATTATGCTTCGGGGTATGCTTCAAGGGTGTGCCCGGGGGTATGCTTCACGGTCGAACTTCCAGCCTTTTCGAGTCATGAGACGAGCAAACCAAAACACATCCAAAATACTCACACGTCAACAAACCACAATCCTCGGATTATGAGCTTGGAAGCTACTTAGGCGGCCAGCCATCCGCAAGAACGGGGGCTTTACCATGCAACCCGAGACATACAAATGGCAAAGCCAGGTTGGATTGACGCTCCCAGAAGGCGATGGTGTGTTCCTCAAGCTGTTGCCCTCTAAGGGGAGCGGACTGTCGGACTGTCTGCGCGAGCTTTTGACGTCTCTGATGAAATCAGGCGCTGGAAGGCACCAATGGGGACAAACCAACGGGGATCGAGTTCGGACGCTCTTGTACTGGTGCTTTCTGATTCAAAAGGCAGGAGCTCCACTCCAAACACTCGGATCGTGAATGCTCGTCAGGTGAAAGACTCGTCAGGTGAAAGACTCGTCAGGTGAAAGGACGTTTTGCGAAGGAAAAAACAAAGTGTGCGCAGTTCTCCTCCAAAAAAGGCTGGGAATCACTGGCACACATTGGATTTGGCTACCTTGACAGCTGTGTCTCGCGCACTTCGGCACTTCCGGGTGGAGCCATCCCGGAACCATAGAGCCCCCACCAACCAGAATGGTTCTCAGACGAGCCCTGCCTGTTGTGGAGCAGGGCTTCGCTGCTTCCCAAAGATGACGCGGCCACCCGCTCCACCCAAAACGGGCCAATCGGTCACCAGCGCACGAACGCGGTCAAGGCACTCTTGGAATGCCAGCACAGAGTGCTTCCAGAAATCTGCGGAGCCTATCGGCTTCTCAAACGTATTGGACCCCATGTTTGACGGTTCCAAAGGGAAGCTCAAAGAAGGAAAAACAGAGGTTCTGCGTTTTGAGAAGCGCGTTCAAATGCCCTTGTAGCAGCAATGGCCTGCTGCTTCGAGGACGACAGTTGGTCATTGCTGCAAACGTGATGGAAGCATACAAGCATCCTGGAAGCGTCATCCCCCCCCTAACACCCCCTAATGAATTGGCCATGCAGAGGTAGCAAACAGCAACACATGTAAAACGTGTCCGAGAGAGAGCGCCCCAAACATACTTACAAAATTACACAGCCTCCGTTGATGGTTGATGCTCCCAGGGGACCCCAGCTGTTGGAGGTGCACCAATGGGTACAAACCAAAGGTGATCCAGTTCGGACGCTCTTGTACTGCCAGTGCTCGCCGATTGATGTGTCAGGCAGAAGCTCCACTCCGGACCCACGGATGGTGAATGCTCGTCAGAAAGGACGTTTTGCGAAGGAAAAAAACAAAGTGTGCGCAGTTCTCCTCCAAAAAAGGCTGGGGATCACTGGCACACATTGGATTTGGCTAGGATTTGGCTACCTTGACAGCTGTGTCTCGAGCACTTCTGCACTTCCGGGTGAGCAATCCCAGAACCATAGAGCCCCCACCAGAATGATTCTCAGACGAGCCCTGCCTGTTGTGGAGCAGGGCTTCGCTGCTTCCCAAAGATGACGCGGCCACCCGCTCCACCCAAAACGGGCCAATCGGTCACCAGCGCACGAACGCGGTCAAGGCGCTCTTGGAATGCCAGCACAAGGAGTGCTTTCAGAAATCTGCGGAGCTTATCGGCTTCTCAAACGTACTGGACCCCATGTTTGATGGTTCCAAAGGGAAGCTCAAAGAAGGAAAAACAGAGGTTATGCGTTTTGAGAAGCGCGTTCAAATGCCCTTGTAGCAGCAATGGCCTGCTGCTTCGCGGACGACAGTTGGTCATTGCTTCAAACATGATGCGCCTGAGAGAGCGCCCCAAACATACCATGACTCGGGCTCGGGTGTCCATTACAAAATTGCACAGCCTCCGTTGATGGTTGATGCTCCCAGGGGACCCCAGCTGTTGGAGGTGCACCAATGGGTACAAACCAAAGGGGATCCAGTTCGGACGCTCTTTTACTGCCAGTGCTCGCCGATTGATGTGTCAGGCAGAAGCTCCACTCCGGACCCACGGATGGTGAATGCTCTGGCACAGATTGGAAGTAGATTGGATTTGGCTACCTTGACAGCTGTGTCTCGAGCACTTCTGCACTTCCGGGTGGAGCAATCAATGAACCATAGAGCCCCCACCAGAATGGTTCTCAAACGACCCCTGCCTGTTGTGGAGCAGGGCTTCGCTGCTTCCCAAAGATGACACGGCCACCCGCTCCACCCAAAAGGGGCCAATAGCCCTCTTGGACTGCCACCACAGTTTTTTTTTTTTACAAATCTGCGGAGCCTATCGGCTTCTCAAACACATTGGACCCCACGATTGACGGTTCCAAAAGGAAGCCCGAAGAATAATTTAATAGCGTTTTGAGAAGCGCGTTCACATGCCCTTGTAGCAGTAATGGCCTGCTGCTTCGCGGACGACAGTTGCTTCAGGTAACTTAGATCGTTTAGACCTTGCAGCAACAGCAGCTCAACGAAATCAAAGTATGCCATTTTTGAAGCCCGAAACCTGTCTTTGGATGATGCCTCGTAAGTGACACAGAGGGCGACAGAAACTCAACGCTGCACATATGATCGAATCTGACAGCGTCAACCCCTAACAACCCCCTCTAGAATAATTTGAGCCATTGCCGCAAAGCTATCAATCAGCATCACGCATATCAAGTTGCCGAGAGAGCGCCGGCTCCGTCAGCGCTTCCAAGGCTGGCAGCACTCCAGGCACCCCGGGTCCGCGCGAGGAGAGGAGCACGAGCTGGCGAAAGCTGAGCCTGCGCACGTGAGATACCGAGGACCATAGAACTACGAACACCACGGCAAATGGGATTTTCTGGTCGCAAAAAGTGACACCTTAAAACCTAGCCCAGGGAAGATGAAGGGCAAACCCCTGAACAAAACAACCAATTTTTCACACTCGACTCATGCCTCCCCAGGCGTCTCCCGACATTTGCAAGCCCCCGAATCCGCGAAGGAGCTGTACGGAGAGATGCCAGGTGAGCCTCCATGAGGCCCAGCAAGTGGTCTGTGCCTTGAATCTTCCTTACTGATCTGCAGATCCTAGAACCAAAATCCAAGCTCGGTATGCGAAAACCCCATGCCTCCTACAACCTTAAAAGACTCAAAGCCGCCAAGGCTCTTGGCACGAAGGTGTGGGAGTATCAACGCCAAGATTTCAGCCTCGCCCAACTGCCTGAGCACCTCGCGGTCCGCCCTTCCGAGCTTGGCTTGATTCGGGTGAGGCAAGTGGCAGAAGTTGCACGATGCGCCACTGGGACACGCGCCGTAAGCCACGAACAGGCAGGGCTTGTTGCAAAGCTCAGGGTGCCCCGCGCTGCCCTTTGACTGCGGAGGCTCCAGAAAAGTCAAGGCCGCGGCTCGCTGCTCCAAGCTCTCCACATAGGATGCCTCAGGGCTGCTTTGCACCCGCGGCACATTTGCACCCGCGCTCTTGGAGCGGGGGCCTGGCTTCGGCTCCTTCACGGCGATGAAGGTGGCCTCGTATGTGTAGAATGCCATGATTGCGATAGGGTGCGGGCTGAAGGCTGGATGGAAGCAAGGTCTTGAGCAACAAATCCATCAAGCCGCGTTTCTCGGGACGGCCCAAGCAAAAGCCAACGTCATCATTCCATGTTCCATTTGCCATCCGCCTCTGAACACCAAGCCAAACTAATCCTTATCAAACACTTGCATCCCAAGGCGTGTGCTCAAGGTTGTGGCACTGTCTGGGCACATGTGTTTAAGCGCGTGATACCTTTACACTTAAGCGTTGCGATTTTTCTGGGGGATCGAGCCTGCGACCGCGCGATTGCAAGAGAAACCACAAGACAACTTCCAAGGACCAGCACGCAAGCAGTAACACTAACAAAATTCGCACGAGACCGCAGAGAGAGCGATTCGACAAGGACGCGCCGAGGATTGATCCGGGGCTTGCAAAACAACCCTTGGCATGTCGGCAAAATAACTTTGTTTGCAGCTGCTCTCCAACTCACTAAGCACGAACAAAACCAACAAAAAACAACAACACATGCCAAGAGCATGGTCCATCCCGAGCTTGCTTTATTGTAGTCGCCTTTTTGGCCCCAGTCACAAAACAAACACATCGGTTCCATCCCCACTGGTTGGTGCGCGCGGCTCGAAAACTGCGTGTTGCGGCAAACGTTCCAGCTTGTTGCTTGTTGTTGCCACATCGCTGTCTTGTAGCTGGGATTCGCTGTGCCCTTCATGAATTTCATGCGTTGAAGTTGCGGGAGTACTCGCACCATTCAGTAACAAACTAACGAAAACTAAGACTGGCGCGTTAAAACACGATTTGAAACGGACCGGTTGTAAGCAAAAGGAAGCGCATGAGAGGGGGGCCGATGGCAACTGAGTTCGTTCGTTCATCCCAGGCTCCGATGACCTGCGCTGGCAGCTGCTGGGCTGCGCTTGCGTCCAGCAAAGCGCCCGCTCTGCGCCATTCCACGCCCAGGAGGCTGTGGATGGTCACCTCTCCCCATGGACATGGAATCCGAGGAGGCTCCGCCCGACATGCAGGTTTGTTGCTGTTAGACTCGTTGTTAGCGACATCCGACGGCCACAAGCCTGTGGCCAATAGCTGCGCCAGAGCCTGCGGCAGACAGCTGTGACAGAGCCTGTGACAGGTAGCTGCGACAGAGCTTGTGACAGGAAAGTGGCTTGCAGCCGTGAACAGCTGCAACTCAGCAGTTGTGGCAGAGCCTGTGACAAACAGCTGCGACGAAGCCTGACAAACAAACGTGACTGCTGTGACAGACAGCGGACTGCTCGACAGTGCGAAGCCTGAGGCTCCCCCCAATAACCGGACGCCGCGACAGCTCCAAGGTGAGGTCCCCCGGCCACGAACAGCCGCGACAGCCTGAAGGCTCCAGACTGTGGACAGCGCCAGTGGCGAGCTGGGGCAGTCCGAAGAATGGGGTCGAACATGGTCGAAGCCAGAGCAAGCAATGAACCAAGCAGATTCGTTCAGCCTGCTGATGTGACACTTGTTCGAACCACTTGTTGGGGGGCTTGGCTGCAACGTTTCGTCGGTGCTCTAAGACGTGGCCGCGTGGCTGTTTGATTAACAAAGGCGCAGGCGCCAGGAGCATGCAATTGTGCCTCGAGAGCGCTCGTCTCACCCTCCCGCCGTTGCCACAGCACCTGACCCCTTGAATCCTTGAGGAGATGTGTCGGGTCCAAATCACTTCCCACAAATGCTATGTTTGCTGAAGGGAACCTGGCGGTCCACCAAGCACACCTGTAAACTGGGCTCTCCCCCACGGAATCCGAAGGAAACTGCAACACAAATAATGCAGCTATCCGCAACTATGGAAACTGCCCGATAAAAGGATGTAAAAAGCTAGCCCACGTTGGCCTCAAATTTGGCGGGCTTCTGCTCCTCTATTTGCTTGAGCCCCCTGCAAACAAAAAGCAACAATCTTGCCACTTGCGAACAGGGAGGGTCCTGGAATTCGGGAGCCCGAAATAGGTCCTTTTGACACTCCTGAGAAGCAACTCGAGGCGTGCCCAGCCATAGCCGTAGGACCCTCAGGGTTAAGCAAATGGAAGCGACCAGAACTAACTTTCTAAAGCGACGCTGCCACTCGGCAGTGTGATCCAACCACCTGCACCAAGTGCGACAAGACTTGGCTTCCCATTTGCCTTCTACACGATCCAGGGGTTCAAGTCCCCAAACCACCAAGTAGGGGTTCTCTGAAGCAAACAAACAAGAAAACAAAACAACAACCTAAAAATTTACCAACCAACCAACCAAACAAACAACAACAAACAAACAAAGAATGCAATCAAGCAAGCACGCCATTTCAACTCAAGCCGAGCCAAGCAAGCAAACGCAAAGTGGCAAACACACTACATGACTAACCGAATACGCCAAGATCTCGCCAAAACCATTTCTCAGTTGCCCAACGGACCCCGAACCTCGACTAAGCATGGACCAAGTCAGGGAAACCGAAAGGTTGTTCTATTCGCTTGGACAACTAAGTTAGCTGGCTGGTGATTGGAAACCTCCATTTTGCTCGTGGGTAAATGGTCAGACTTTCCCTTCCTCCCACTATCACAGGTGTGGGGGGATTCCTGGAAGATCAGCTTCAACTCTTTTTACGGGACCCTCTGTCAGAGGGTACCTCACTTCCTAAGTGCACTTCCCCCCCCCCCAAAAAAAAAGTTGGATCTGTATATTTAATTTTGCTACTAAACAGGGGTTGATGAATGGGTCAACATTGCCAAGGACATGGTCCAAACCAAGTTTTTAAAATCCATGAGCTCGATTGGGAGTGAGTCACCTCCATTTGCTTAAGCCCAAAAATTGCTCAGTGACACATCCTTTTCACAAAACAAAGGAAGACAATACAACAACACTTGGGCATGGGTCAAGGTTAAACCCCCAGAACATTGGACCGCGGATTTAGTTGTTGGTTCCATTTACCAGGGCACCTCATTTTCACCTCCGGACAGCGATTTCAATTCGAGGGTTGGCCCCAAAATGATGGAAAAAAACACCCCTTCCCACTAAAAAGCATCCCATGGATCCGGCCACTCCGCCCGCTGAAAACCGAAAGTTCGCGCCTCGTTGACCTCGCAAGCCCTGCACCGCGCCAAACGCAGCAGCTGCAAGGCCGAAGCCCATCGATGGATCCATCTGGAACCGCTGAGGGCCTCAGCTTCGGGGGTTTGGAGACCCCCCAATTACCTACCAAAGGCCATGCCCCCATTCAGATAAAATCCCCTCAGTCAACCACTTCAACCATATTACCCAACAGGGGCACGTCACCTCAACCAATTTTACCACCTAAATCCCAAAATACCAAATTCCCAAAATATATTTTTCCAAAATCCCAAATTCCCAAATATATTTTTCCAAAATCCCAAAAAATAAAATCCCCATAATTTCAAAACATAAATCTTACAATGTTTTTATTGTAAGGTTTATGGGTTAAAATAATAGTCAGGCAATATGTCTTCAAATCCCATCAATCCAGAACTCATTCCCCATCAATCCAGAACTCATTCCCCAGCAATCCAGAACTCATTCCCCACCAATCCAGAACTCACTCCCCATCAATCCAGAACTCATTCCCCATCAATCCAGAACTCATTCCCCATCAATCCAGAACTCATTCCCCATCAATCCAGAACTCATTCCCCATAACCTTGGGGAATGTTCCCACTAACCTTGGGGAATGTTCCCAACCCCAATTCAAATTCCTTAACCCCTCAAACTCGTCAAAATTCGGTGCACGGGGGACTGCTCCAAATAAAATCAAAATGGTTTCTGTCAAACTGCTTATAATCCCATTCCAAAATATCACAATTAATATCAGCATTTTTCAAGTCTAATGAGATGACATTAAATCCAAGCGACTTTGCTATGGTTCCTACACTTCCAGTTCCACTAAATAATTCTAATAAATTCAAATTGATTATTAGAATGATTTAGATAATGCTTTAGACATATACATATTTATCATCTTCCTTAATAATCTTATAGTATTCTAATGTTTGTTCTTTTGGACTTTTGATTTGTCCCTTATTTAACATATCACAATATTTTTTACGCTTCGTGTCATAATCACCGCTGGGTCTGCCTATCCCTTTCTTTTCAAAAATTTTATCAATCTTTTCCTTCTCTTCATTGTTATTTTTTGGTTCGTTTGCCTTTGCATCAAGTTTCTGGTCAATAGTTTTTATCATCTCGTACAACAGTTTAACATTTTTACTAACTGTCATTATTTTCTTTGATAGTTCAGCAATAGCATCATTCTCAACTTCAGACATTTCTATATATATTTATTTATATAATTATTTATTTAAATATTTATTTATGCGTTTTATTATACAGTTTACCTGAATAATTTAATGTTATATATGAAAATAGATTATATTCTAACAGTCTTTCGCCAATTTTATTGTTCATTTTTATTAAACCTTCCTCGTCACCTGTAATTTCAAAAAAAAATCAATATTTTATCAAATTTATCCGGTTTAGTTATACCTTTCATAAAATATTTATCATTGAATTTAGCATCAAACCAATAAAAATATTCTTCGCTCAATTGTTTAGCAAAGTTTTCATCACCATTAAATAGGTCTTTAATTTCTTCATCGTCAAAAGTTATAACTCTATGGTTTTCTCTATTCATAGTTGGCATTATGATTATACAAAAAATAGATATTTATTTATTTAATTATTTATTTATAAAATTGATTTAATGTAAAATCTACTCTTTAAATACTAACTTATGTCCCTGTTGAAACTAACATTAATCAAATGTTCGTTAGTTTCAATAACCATATCGCCTCCTGATTTTTTCTGAATATTAAAATCTTTATCTGTTTTTTAATAAGAAAACATACATGGGACACAACTAACCTTAACACCATCTTTTTTATCTACCGTCAATTCATTCTTAAAATTCATAACATGATTACATTTATCGCATTTTACAGCTTTACTTTCACCCTTTGATTTAACACTTTCCGTTGTTTTTTTCCGAGCTTCAATATCTGGCATTGGTCTTTCTTTGCTTTTACTCTTTTTCTTTCTTGGCATTTAAATTAATATTTGCATTTTTATTTTTGGTATATTGTATTCCTAATGTATAAAAGCATAATGTATACAAGCATACTTTCTTACATCTGTTGTCTGTTATTATTACTTGTTCTATATTCTCTACTTCATCTATTATATCAATATAATCTGAATAACTTCTATCCATATAAATAATAAGATAAATTATTCTAATTCATCTTATTATTTCATGCATAATAGAATATTGGTGGGGCACAGCACTTGGGGTTTTCATTGCACACGCGAGCAAGACACAAAACTAATTATCTTCAATGCTTATTGATTGAAGGAATGAAAAACCTGTTCCATTTTTTCATTGATATTTGCCGTCATCATATCATGAAAAAACAATGTTCCATTTAATATTAATTATAAATAATTTTCTAAATATCTTTAATATTATTTTATTATGCCTGATGTAAAACCAATTGATGAAATCAAATATGACTTTAAGCAAAGCAAGCACGAGGTCGTCCCTAAATTGCCGATGAGAGCTATGATTGTAGGGCCGTCAGGCTCTGGAAAGAGCACCCTACTTGTATCAATGATACTTGATATTGATAGATGTGCATTTGAAAGAATTTTTATCTGGTCCCCATCAGTAAATTTAGATAGCATTTGGTTGCCTGTTAAAAAATACGTTAAGGAAGGTTTGAAAGTAGATAATGATAAAGAACCGTGTTGGTGGGATGAGTTCAATGTTGAAGATTTAGAAAGAGTTATAGAAACTCAAAATAAAATGATTGAATACCAGAAAAAACAAGGAACGAAGAAATTATTTAATATATTGGTAATTTTGGATGATGTATCTGATAATCCAGCAATAACAAGAAATAACAAATTGTTAAATTCTTTATTCTGTAGGGGACGTCATAGTGGAATATCAACGCTTGTCAGTCTTCAAAAATTATCAACCGTGCCACCAATTATTAGAGTAAATATAAGTCATTTGTTTTATTATAAAGTTGGAAACTACAAAGAGATAGAAATATTACAAGATGAATTATCAGCAATTGTTAGAAGCGATAATTTACACGAAAGCAAGAAATTAATTTATAAAATATATGAAACTGCCACTGATGAACCGCATAGTTTTTTATATATTAACCTTTTAGAAAAGAACCCAGCTAAAATGTTTATGAAAAACTTTTCACAATAATTGAAAATAACTAATCAAGAACATTAAATTTATTTTTTAATGTTTTTGATTTGAATTAATGAAGCGTTGCAAAAATTCAACGCAGGTAATTTATATATTAGTTTGTCCGATTTTTGACTTTCTAATTTTTTCAATCCTTGCCACACATTCTTGAATAGATTTGATTATTAAAGTATCCGCTCTTGTTTTTCATCTACTCTTAAATTCTTAATGTCTTCCATACTGTTATTTTCATCGTTTTTACTTTGACCAATACCCAATATATATAATTATTTAGATTTTTCTTTTTGACATTTTGCTTATTGTCATCTTAGATTGAAATAAGGAAAATTCTAAACATCTTTTGATTTTTTCAGTTCCTGAATTTATTTTTCTAATTTTGCAACTTTATCTATCACTTCCAGTAAAGCTTTATGTAATAATATTGGAACTTTTGTATATTCAATACCTAAATATTCACGTTCGGTATGAACTACATTACTAATTTCTTTCGGAACTGCTTTTAATAAATCATCAGCAATATAACCTATATGGATTGCATCCTTATCGTCTCTATCTTTTCTTTTGAATTTTTTAGGCTTGAATTTCTTAATCATACTAATACAATTACTTTTAAGTAAATCTACATCATATTTCAATCTTGCATCGGAATTATCTATTCGACTTCCATTTATGGTTACAGTTCCGGCAGTAATATCAATAGCATCACCTGAAGCATCTTGAATATCATTTACAAATAATGTTTTTGCATTCACAACTGTTACATTTTCATTAAAAGTCGATGGAGCATTATTTGTAAAACTTTCAGTATTTACTGTTGTTCCAAATGTCTTATCAATAGAGAACAAAACAGAAGGTGTAGTTGAACTATCAGCAACTCTAAATGAAGTGTTTGATGTTCTAAATATTACATCAATTCTAGATAAACTAGTTCCATCGTAATAAGTTGATATTTCACTTGTTCCCATCTTTAGATCTGTTCCAGTAGTCATTGAAATATTATTCAAAAATGAAACCGTTGTTAAATCAAATGATTGAATGGTATTAGTTGCTAAATAAGCGTTTTGTATTGCCATATTAGTATCAACAGTTACCAATGTACCACCATTAGGCGCTATATTATTGCTTCTTAATGCTCCCCCGCTTTTAACATAAATATCATCAGCAAATAAATTACCCATTACATCAACAGTGCTTGTATTAAAAGTCCATCCAGTAGAAATATTAACTGCTCCAACTATATTAGATTGAACAGCAGGGTCTCCACAAATAAATCTAATTGAAGAATTAGCATCACTATTCCTCATATCAAAAGATGAAAAAGCACTAACATATCTATATAATTCACAATTTGTATCAATTGTTAATTTACCATCAGTATCAATATTAACATTATCACAATTAACAGCGGCATTTGTATAAATATTACCTAACACATCAACGGGTTTACTAAAAATAGTTTTATTTACCAATCCATCACACATCATATATTGATTACTGGCATTAGTAATATCACCAACGCTAACAGCAACAAAATTAGGATGATGTATATAAAAACCTTCTGTTGCATCTGGTGTATGTGTTTCTAAATATGGTTCTAGTCCATTTATTGAAGTATTGATATTATCAATTTTTTTTTAATATCTGTTGAAAAATCATTATTTGTAAATAAATTTCCTTTCATATAAACAGCACCTTCAAAATATGAAGTTCCGTGTGCTTGAGCAAAATTATACGAAGTATGAACATTACCATTAATTGTAATTCTTGAAGCATTATTAGGTCTTCCAATAATAACATCTCCCGTATTCCATCCTAACCATAATCTATAAGGCGTAGCACCTGTTAGTCCTTGATAAGAGTCTAACTGGCATCCTCTTTTAAATTCGAGTCTTTGGTTACTAACTGCGTCCTGGATTCTAAATATTG